AAAAATCAATATGAAAGATTTGACACTATATTTTAAATTCTATTATAAAATAGATTAAGTTAGCACTATGGTAAATTTAAATGGGTAATTATGGTTGCAAACTCCATTGGAAATTTGAATTGAGATTATGACCATATCTTGAGGGAAAGAATTTTTTGGGGGAAAAAAAGGGGGGGGGTAAAAGAAATTGTCGGGGGTCAATTTTTTCTCATTTCAGATTTCAGAAATTAAAAAGAATTATTCTTCAAATATTATTTTTTTTTCAAATTTCAAATATTGAAAAATTTCAAGAAGTAATCTTTAATTGCACAGTATGGCGCAATCTTTGACCACATTTATTTATTTGTTATGCCGAATCTTACATAGATTTTTAATTTTGGGTCCAGTTTTCAATTGGTCTACATTAATGTGCAAAGGGTCCAAAATTAAACTTTGTTTGATTTTAACAAAAATTGAATATATGGGGTCCTTTGATATGCTGAATCTAAACATGTATTTAGATTTTTGATTTTTGGCCCAGTTTTCAAGTTGGTCCAAATTGGGGTCCAAAATTAAACTTTGTTTGATTTCAACAAAAATTGAATATATGGGGTTCTTTGATATGCTGAATCTAACCATGTATTTAGATTTTTTATTTGTGGACCCCACTATCAAATTGGTTCATATTGAGGTCAAAAGGGTCCAAAATTAAACTTCGTTTGATTTCATCAAAAATTGAATTATTGGGGTTCTTTGATATTCCAAATCTAACCGTGTATTTAGATTTTTAATTTTGGGTCCCGTTTTTTTAAATTGGTCTACATTAAGGTCAAAAGGGTCCAAAATTTAACTTTGTTTGATTTCATCAAAAATTGAATTTTTGGGGTTCTTTGATATGCTGAATCTAAACATGTGTTTAGATTTTTGATTATGGGTCCCGTTTTCAAGTTGGTCCAAGTTGGGGTCCAAAATTAAACTTTGTTTGATTTCAACAAAAATTGAATATATGGGGTTCTTTGATATGCTGAATCTTAACATGTATTTAGATTTTAGATTTTTGGCCCAGTTTTCAAGTTGGTCCAAATTGGGGTCCAAAATTAAACTTTGTTTGATTTCAACAAAAATTGAATATATGGGGTTTTTTGATATGCTGAATCTAACCATGTATTTAAATTTTATTATTTGTGGGCCCCGCTATCAAATTGGTTCATATTGAGGTCAAAAGGGTCCAAAATTAAACTTTGTTTGATTTCATCAAAAATTGAATTATTGGGGTTCTTTGATATGCCAAATCTAACCATGTTTTTAGATTTTTAATTTTGGGTCCCGTTTTTTAAATTGGTCTACATTAAGGTCCAAAGGGTCCAAAATTAAACTTAGTTTGATTTTAACAAAAACTGAATTCTTGGGGTTCTTTGATATGCTGAATCTAAACATGTATTTAGATTTTTTATTTGTGGACCCCACTATCAAATTGGTTCATATTGAGGTCAAAAGGGTCCAAAATTAAACTTCGTTTGATTTCATCAAAAATTGAATTATTGGGGTTCTTTGATATTCCAAATCTAACCGTGTATTTAGATTTTTAATTTTGGGTCCCGTTTTTTTAAATTGGTCTACATTAAGGTCCAAAGGGTCCAAAATTTAACTTTGTTTGATTTCATCAAAAATTGAATTTTTGGGGTTCTTTGATATGCTGAATCTAAACATGTGTTTAGATTTTTGATTATGGGCCCAGTTTTCAAGTTGGTCCAAGTTGAGGTCCAAAATTAAACTTTGTTTGATTTCAACAAAAATTGAATATATGGGGTTCTTTGATATGCTGAATCTAAACATGTATTTAGATTTTAGATTTTTGGCCCAGTTTTCAAGTTGGTCCAAATTGGGGTCCAAAATTAAACTTTGTTTGATTTCAACAAAAATTGAATATATGGGGTTCTTTGATATGCTGAATCTAACCATGTATTTAGATTTTTTATTTGTGGGCCCCGCTATCAAATTGGTTCATATTGAGGTCAAAAGTGTCCAAAATTAAACTTTGTTTGATTTCATCAAAAATTGAATTATTGGGGTTCTTTGATATTCCAAATCTAACCATGTATTTAGATTTTTAATTTTGGGTCCTGTTTTTTAAATTGGTCTACATTAAGGTCCAAAGGGTCCAAAATTAAAGTTAGTTTGATTTTAACAAAAATTGAATTCTATAGGTTCTTTGATATGCTGAATCTAAACGTGTTTATATTTTTGATTATGGGCCCAGTTTTCAAGTTTGTCCAAGTTGGGGTCCAAAATTAAACTTTGTTTGATTTCAACAAAAATTGAATATATGGGATTCTTTGATATGCTGAATCTAAACATGTATTTTGATCTTGGACATTGGACCATTATAGGTAAATTAAAAAAAATCAAGTTCTTAGACCACATTCTTTCTGTGTCAGAAACCTATGCTGTGTCAAATATTTAATCGCAATCCAAATTCAGAGCTGTATCAAGCTTGAATGTTGTGTTCATACTTGCCCCAACTGTTCAGGGTTCGACCTCTGCGGTCGTATCAAGCTGCGCCCAGCGAAGCATTTTATTCAACTCTAGTCCTAAGCAAAAGTGTTGTATTTTTTTTTATCTGACAAGCTTAATTTCAGATTAAATTAGGTAAGGAGGCTATGATTTATAATTCAGTTAGGTTTTGGCTGATTTGATGTCATACCACCCGCCCTGTACTCGGTATTTTCTCACATAAATAATATGAATTTCAGATCTTTAAGTTTGCATATAAATATTATTATTCAAATTTCGTTTAAAAACTTGCACACATAGGACGAATAGTAACGTATGGCTTAGTACAACAAGCAGGCATTAACCTATCGTTGACAGAGATACGACAACGAGATATTGATACTACAGATTCCCTAAATTCCTTCGGTCTGCATACAAAAATATATCATTATTCGAATAACCATGTTGAATTTACACCCACCAAACCACTAAAAACGTATGGCTAAGTATACCATGCAGACGTTTAGATATATTGAGGTACCACTTACAACACCTCATATAAAAACAAACACGCTCTATTCATAAAAAAAATGTGTGATTAAAAGTTTGTTTGATGAGGTAAATTAGTCTCCTTTGATCTTGAGTTAAGTTGTTCAACAGATAAATAATTAGCCTAAATTTCTACTGAATGCTGATCCTTTAATGACAGAAATGATAATCGGCATTCTATTTAAAAAAATAATTCCACGGAGAAATAATCTCCAGGTGATTGCTATTTGAATTTTATTACGTATACATCGAAATACAAGTTAAAGAATTCTGGTAAACTAAATTTAACACCTGTGCAATGGTATCACTCTATTAAATTTTAATTACAGAGAATGTAACCAAAATTTTTTTCCTATTTCAGTTTTATTCACTGCTGGAATTAAAAATTTTAATTTTATTTTCAAGGTAATCATACAATAATTTTTTCTCATTGTAATCGGATATTAAATCTCGGTGTATTAAACTCTCCATTCCAGCTATTTCTGTTAATCCATTCAAAATGACAACATATTCACACCTGTAAAAGCGTACATTTGAGGCTTAATTGCCCTCAGGTAAAATGAATGAATTGTTTTACAAAATGCTCATCTATTCGAGAAATAAACAATGCCTTTCCGAAATAACAGACACATTCTATTCACACAGACTTTGCGTTGAAATAAAATTAATCAGGTAAATGAAAATGAAAAATATTTTCAGTTCAATATCAGTAAATAATTTGTCTTCAATAAATATTTCCAGAAAAATCACAACTATTATTAATTAAAATCAAATCGAAAATATATACCATAAGATTTTTTATTTAATCAATGCAAAACGTTACACATGTGTTCATTTTCTTTCATTCTTCTTTTGTGGTTATAAGCTACGAGAAACGGTCATCTGCGCTCTTTTAATTACGGAAAAATTCTATAAGCGATTAAGACCTTTAACTGATTTAATTATTTCCCAGCATTCACTAAATCGGATTAAAACGTCACAACATGATGACGTATGTCAACCAAAAAAGTTACAAATACTTGATTTTCTCCGTTATTAGAGGGAATATAAATTTAAAACTTTGTGAATGTGTTTTTTATGTTATGAGGAACATATTTAGATGATAAGTAAAAAATCGTGGATTTTCCCTTAAAGTTCAACATAGGTCATATGAATAAGGGTTGGCTTAACATCGAATTTTTGTCTGGTAGACAAAAATTAAATTCAGGTGTAAAATGTTAAAAAGCTTCTAAATGCTTAATGGAAAGTAAACAGTAATGGTTTTATTCATTCTTAAATAACTTTTTGTACAAAATCCGGCATATACATAAAAAAAATAATTTTAATGAAAATCGTAGCTACTATCTGTTTAAACAAGAATGTGTCCATAGTACACAGATACCCCACTCGCACTATCATTTTCTATGTTCAGTGGACCATGAAATTGGGGTAAAAACTCTAATTTGGCATTAAAATTAGAAAGATCATATCATAGGGAACATGTGTACTAAGTTTCAAGTTGATTGGACTTCAACTTTATCAAAAACTACCTTGACCAAAAACTTGAACCTGAAGCGGGACAGACGGACGAGTGGACAAATGGACGCACAGACAGAAAAACATAATGCCCCTCTACTATCGTAGGTGGGACATAAAAAAAGCAAATTAAGGGGGTACCAAACACTTTGACTAAAATAGAATTGGCTTGTTTAATTTTCATGAAATTTTGACAAAATATTTAGAATGACCTGTTGACAAAAATATAAAAATTTCAAGAAATTTGAACCACACAATTTACTAGAATAATTTCATTGGATATATAGCAGTTTGACAAACACTAATTTTGAACATTGAGACGCTTGATTTCTCTTTACTATTAGTATGCGATTAAAACATTCAGCTGATTTTTAAAGAGCTATCTCCCTTAGGTGTTCTGTACCCCCTTAATTTATCTTTCAAAAAATGTTTCAGATAGACAAAGATGACTGACTAAATATATATATATATATAAATATATTTTTTTTAATCATTCATATAGTGTTGATTAACTAATACAACTGTATATAAAAGTGCATTAACATAGTTTTTGCTGCAAAATATAAAAAGAACATAACTAGTATCATTACAAAATAAAAAAAATAAATTCCTGTCATGTTATAGATATGCACAAAAAATGATACATACAAACAATACAGCTATTTAAAGTGTAAATAAACAAATAATATATCTTGTGTGACTTCTTATGCATATAAATGTACAAGTATAATCTAACCTTCAACAATGAGTCAAAGACCAGATGGTATAGATGGTAAGAATGACATATAATCAGAAAAACTATTGAAAGTAACATTTGATTGAAGAAACTATAAAATGTTGCATAGGTACTGAATTCTACAGGCATTGTATACAAAAATCAAAGCAGTATCTGTATCCATATTAAGTCATGTGTCAAATAAAAGATGAACAGTACTAATATTCAGGCTGATGTGTTAAATAAAGGACCAAAGTTTTTTTATATTCATAATGATGTATCAGATTAAGCACCAGAGATACTGATATTAAGACTAATAATATGTAAAATAAGGACCAAAAGTACTACGACCATGGCTTCATGTTTTCAGACTGATCTGTCAAATGAAGGACCATGGGTTCAGGTATTCAGACTGACCATATCAAATAAAGCACCCAAGATATAGTTATTCAGACTGCCATATCAAATAAAGCACCAAAGATTTAGTTATTCAGACTGCCCTTTCAAATAAAGCATCACATGTACAGACTTGTAGAAAAAGTAAAAATCTGCCACTGTCAACTAATGCTCCCTGAACTAAAAATTTATTGAAAGAAAACAATTATATTTAAAGGTTTTAAAATACTAGTATGCTTGGAGGGACAAATAAGTATGTACTACTATTGCATGTCATTTATGCTAATGTTTCACCTAAATAATGTGTATATGTGTAATTCAAAGTGGTCAAAGTAGGATACCATCTAGAAACCAACTCTTGAAATAAATATATTTTTAGTTTGCGACCTCGACCTTTAACCTGTTGACTCTAAAATCAATAGAATTTTTCCCAATCCCAATATCGACTATCTGTATAATTTTCATTTCAATAAAACAAGGGAAATTAATAAGGCAACAATACAGAATCCATTTTTCAATTTTTAGTAACAGTAACCTTGAGCTTTAACCTATTAACCAAAAACAATCAATAGGGCTACAATTGCCATATGTATAGGAAGCTTGAATTTGAATGAGATTCATAATACAGATCAAAAATTTACAACTTGAGTAGTCGATAAAACTTCTCATTTTTTACACACTGTACTTAAAGCTTTCTGAGTTCTAGAAACAGTACTTTCCTTTAACAGAATCATCTGTTTTTACTATAATTTTGGAATAGTGAATCTGCAGTATTTCTACTTAATTATTCAATCATGTAACAATATAAAGGCTGTCACAGAAAGGTTGGGAAAAGAATTTTTTTTAAAGTTCACTCTGTTTTATAATAGACACATTAGCGTATACTGTAAATTACAAATGAATATTATAAAAAAATAAAAATGTATTCCTAAAAGCAAACTGATAAGTGAAATACTGATAGAGATTGCTGCCACAGACAAAGTTAAAATGTACTATCAATTCTGAAATCGTTGCATATCATAATTTTCAAAATATCGAAACGGACATCTGCGCTCTTTTAATTACGGAAAAATTCTATAAGCGATTAAGACCTTTAACTGATTTAATTATTTCCCAGCATTCACTAAATCGGATTAAAACGTCACAACATGATGACGTATGTCAACCAAAAAAGTTACAAATACTTGATTTTCTCCGTTTTTAGAGGGAATATAAATTTAAAACTTTGTGAATGTGTTTTTTATGTTATGAGGAACATATTTAGATGATAAGTAAAAAATCGTGGATTTTCCCTTAAAGTTCAACATAGGTCATATGAATAAGGGTTGGCTTAACATCGAATTTTTGTCTGGTAGACAAAAATTAAATTCAGGTGTAAAATGTTAAAAAGCTTCTAAATGCTTAATGGAAAGTAAACAGTAATGGTTTTATTCATTCTTAAATAACTTTTTGTACAAAATCCGGCATATACATAAAAAAAATAATTTTAATGAAAATCGTAGCTACTATCTGTTTAAACAAGAATGTGTCCATAGTACACAGATACCCCACTCGCACTATCATTTTCTATGTTCAGTGGACCATGAAATTGGGGTAAAAACTCTAATTTGGTATTAAAATTAGAAAGATCATATCATAGGGAACATGTGTACTAAGTTTCAAGTTGATTGGACTTCAACTTTATCAAAAACTACCTTGACCAAAAACTTGAACCTGAAGCGGGACAGACAGACGAGTGGACAAATGGACGCACAGACAGAAAAACATAATGCCCCTCTACTATCGTAGGTGGGACATAAAAAAAGCAAAATAAGGGGGTACCAAACACTTTGACTAAAATAGAATTGGCTTGTTTAATTTTCATGAAATTTTGACAAAATATTTAGAATGACCTGTTGACAAAAATATAAAAATTTCAAGAAATTTGAACCACACAATTTACTAGAATAATTTCATTGGATATATAGCAGTTTGACAAACACTAATTTTGAACATTGAGACACTTGATTTCTCTTTACTATTAGTATGCGATTAAAACATTCAGCTGATTTTTAAAGAGCTATCTCCCTTAGGTGTTCTGTACCCCCTTAATTTATCTTTCAGAAAATGTTTCAGATAGACAAAGATGACTGACTAAATATATATATATATAAATATATTTTTTTTAATCATTCATATAGTGTTGATTAACTAATACAACTGTATATAAAAGTGCATTAACATAGTTTTTGCTGCAAAAATATAAAAAGAACATAACTAGTATCATTACAAAATAAAAAAAAAAATTTCCTGTCATGTTATAGATATGCACAAAAAATGATACATACAAACAATACAGCAACTTAAAGTGTAAATAAACAAATAATATATCTTGTGTGACTTCTTATGCATATAAATGTACAAGTATATTTGGCAATCGCCAATGGCAGTCAGCAGGGTTTAAGAACATTTGTTATTTGACCTGTTAGTCAAATGCGTTTTGTTAAAATATACTTTTTCACTTTTTTGGTCTTTTGGAAAGTGTTGTTTGTGCTGTATTTAGACCCCTCTAACAAGTATAATTTAACCTACACCAATGAGTCAAAGACCAGATGGAATAGATGGTAAGAATGACATATATTCAGAAAAACTATGGAAAGTATCATTTGATTGAAGAAACTATAAAATGTTGCATAGGTACTGAATTCTACAGGCATTGTATAAACAAATCAAAGCAATATCTGTATCCATATTAAGTCATGTGTTAAATAAAAGATGAACAGTACTAATATTCAGGCTGATGTGTTAAATAAAGGACCAAAGTTTTTTTATATTCATAATGATGTATCAGATTAAGCACCAGAGATACTGATATTAAGATTAATAATATGTAAAATAAGGACCAAAAGTACTACGACCATGGCTTCATGTTTTCAGACTGATCTGTCAAATGAAGGACCATGGGTTCAGGTATTCAGACTGACCATATCAAATAAAGCACCCAAGATATAGTTATTTAGACTGCCCTATCAAATAAAGCACCAAAGATTTAGTTATTCAGACTGCCCTTTCAAATAAAGCATCACATGTACAGACTTGTAGAAAAAGTAAAAATCTGCCACTGTCAACTAATGCTCCCTGAACTAAAAATTTATTGAAAGAAAACAATTATATTTAAAGGTTTTAAAATACTAGTATGCTTGGAGGGACAAATAAATATGTACTACTATTGCATGTCATTTATGCTAATGTTTCACCTAAATAATGTGTATATGTGTAATTCAAAGTGGTCAAAGTAGGATACCATCTAGAAACCAACTCTTGAAATAAATATATTTTTAGTTTGCGACCTAGACCTTTAACATGTTGACTCTTAAATCAATAGAATTTTTCCCAATCCCATATCGACTATCTGTATAATTTTCATTTCAATAAAACAAGTGAAATTAAGGCTACAATACAGAAACCATTTTTCAATTTTTAGTAACCTTGAGCTTTAACCTATTAACCAAAAACAATCAATAGGGCTACAATTGCCATATGTATGGGAAGCTTGAATTTAAATGAGATTCATAATACATATCAAAAAATTTACAACTTGAGTAGTTGATAAAACTTCTCATTTTTTACACACTGTACTTAAAGCTTTCTGAGTTCTAGAAACAGTACTTTCCTTTAACAGAATCATCTGTTTTTACTATAATTTTGGAAGAGTGAATCTGCAGTATTTCTACTTAATTATTCAATCATGTAACAATATAAAGGCTGTCACAGAAAGGTTGGGAAAAGAATTTTTTTAAAAGTTCACTCTGATTTATAATAGACACATTAGCGTATACTGTAAATTACAAATGAATATTATAAAAAAATAAAAATGTATGCCTAAAAGCAAACTGATAAGTGTAATACTGATAGAGATTGCTGCCACAGACAAAGTTAAAATGTACTATCAATTCTGAAATCGTTGCATATCATAATTTTCAAAATATCAGTGACAAATAAAATGCTTCGCTGAGCACAGCTGGATACGACCGCAGAGGTCCAACCCAGAACAGTTGGGGCAAAAATGGACACAATATTCGCGCTTGATACAGGTCTAAATTTGGATTGTAATTAAATATTTGACACATAATAGTTTTCTGACACAGAATAACTGTAGTCAAAGAATCTAGAATTGGTTATATGATTTGAATTTATATTCAACTTTTTGCTTTTGTGCAATACACCATGCTGTTCCGTATTGACCCCCCCCCCCCTCCCTTTATTTTGCAAAAAAAAAAAAATAATTTGAAGAAATTTTCTTTTTAATTTTCTGAAATCTGAAATGAGAAAAAATTGCCCCCCCCCCCCCAAATTTTTTTCACCTCCCGCCCCTTTTTCCTAAAAAAATTCTTTCCCTCATGATATGGTCATAATCTCAATTCAAATTTCCAATGGAGTTTGCAACCATAATTACCAATTTAAATACATCATAAAAGTCTTAAAATAGAAAATAAAATACATAATCATGGCTAAAATTAATATTCCTTTAATAGTAACTTCTAAAAATTAATTGACAGCTAATCACCTCAAGACAATACAACATCTTTATACATAATTTAAAAGCAATGTAAGGGAGGCAATCCAATTTTTTTTTAATACTTTAAATGTATTTGGATTACCTCCCTTACACTGCTTTTAAATTGTCCATTAACCAAGAAACCCTTGTTTTTCCCCCTTTTTTGCCCCTAATTCCTAAACGGTTTGAGCCATAGCCCCCAAAGTCAATCTTAACCATCCCTTTGTGGTATGGAAACTTGTGGTATAATTTCAGAGAGATTCATACACCGTTCCACAAGTTATTGTCTGGAAACTAGAAAAATGTTTATTTGGCCCCTAATTCCTTAACTGTTGGTACCATCCCAAAATCAATCCAAACCTTCCTTTTGTGGTACTGAACCTTATGGTAAAATTTCATAGAGATCCATTCACTTAAACTAAAGTTATTGTGCGAAAACCAGTGTGTCTTCGGAAGACAACGATGCCAACGTCATACCAATATACGACCGCAAAAAATTTTTGCGGTCGTATAAAAATGAAACATTAACACTTTAGGGTGCTATAAACAGTTTCGTATAAAAAACTAGGGGTCATTCCCCGACTAAAAATAACCATGGAGGGAAATCCCTTTTTATTCATATAATTGGTGAAAAAGTTTTTTGTATTTGATTGTATAAATTAGTTAATTAGCTTTCAATTTAAACAGGTTGAATGATTAAAATAATTTTAAAAATTAGATTAAATATACATGTTTTGAGGGGAGACAACACTGTAAACATCCTGTTTTTTTGGCAATGCAAATTGAAAACTTATTTGCAGCCACTGTAGCTCTTTTCGAAGCAGGAAACCGTACCCTGAAACATGATTTTTATTAAAGGCCAGGTAAAAACCTATGAATTTCATACAGTTTTGATTATGGGAAATGTGCCTGTATCATGTTTACATGGGTATGCACATGAGCTGATTTCAGGTTTTTTATGTTCAGATTAGGCAACTTTTTCCCCGTTTTCTCTGGATAGAACTTTTTTACTATACTAAAAGTACACTATATTTTTATTTCAATATAAACTAGAGAAAAATTCTGATTCCAGTGATATCTAGTTTTATTCAAGTATCTTTATTAACCATTCCACCACTAAGGGTCACTTAGGCATGGTCCCTTAAAATAGGACGTCATAGAAAAAAACTGTTGATTGCACCCTTAACAGTACTGACCATAGATTTTATCCATCACATGTCCATTTAACACTAAGTAAATGATACAAACATATCTGACTATCTAAACTGCCAGACTTGACTATAATATGCTGAACCAATTCAGAAATGGTGGTGCATAGTAACATCATTGATTTTGGATTTTATTTTTTTGTCCATTTATGTCATTTACAAGGACCAATATGTTCATGTTGGTCCATTCTATTAAAACAAAAATTATTATAAAAAAATAAAAATGCTGGTTTTAGTAACAAGAATTAATAATCAAGGCGTGAGAGAGCTACAAAGGCAATTGCCTCCAAGTCAATGTTTTTATGATTTCTACTACATGTGGTTTACAACCTTATATACATGAATTTAAAATGGTGGAGGAGGAAAATTTACAATAATAAAAAATCTCTGATGAGCCATTTGGAAAGGAATTTGACGTTTATTATGCAAAAAAATGGATCAAATTTTAACTTAAGGCCATTAAATCATGTTTAAATGAAGTGAAACATTCTTTTGCCGAAAATTCAAATCTTTCATTGTACACTTGAGTTATGAGTGCCAAAAGTAAATAAAAAATCAGTTAGATTTGTTGGCATAAAAAGTTGTTCTTCACTAAATACTGATATAAGGGATTGTTCATTCAAATTTTCAATATTAAATCAAAAACTGACATAATTTAATATTATGATGAAAAATCTAAAGAACCAAAATGGCACTGATAAAAACACACTTTTTCACTCTGACTTCTACTTAATTTATCTTTAATAGTCAATCGAAAAACATGAAGAAATGTAAAATACATCTATAAATTAATGTTTTGAAACTTCACCAGCCCACCATTGTTTTTAACTAGACCTGTTCTATACAAATTAATCATAAAAACAAAGGAAATTTATCGTAGCAGCAGAAATTTTGTACTTCGACCAGTTTCAATCTGCATCACAAATATGGCAGTCTCACCATAGCATAAAGGCAAAAAGCAATTGCCTTAAAAATAGTAAAAAAAAAGTCAGTTTTATTGCAGCAAGTCTTATTGTATTGCACATTTACCAAAACAAAACAAAAACATATTTGTGTTCACAGTGTTATCACAGGAAAAAATATTTAGTACAAAAGATAATGCTGATATGAGATTATATGAGATTATTTACAAACAATCAAAGTACAAGATAACCAAGTAAAATATATACCGGTAGTATATTATCCATTATTTACAAACATTCTAAGTACAAGATAATCAAGTAAAATATATAGTATATTATATACAGTAATTTAATGTACAAGTTAAAAACAGTGTATTATATTCAGTAATTTTATGTACGAGTAAAAAAAGATAGTGTATTGTATAAAGAGTTTTATGTCAAAAAAATTATAATATTTTGTAAAGACTTATGTACAAGTTTGAACTACAAGAGAGGACATGCTGAAATGTCTCCGCTGCTTTAATGACCATGATCAATTTTATGATCAGACGTGTAAACCTTAATATCATTCCATACACCAAATATAGTCGACCTTCTGCTTATAATATACAAGAAACATACCAAAGCATGAAAACTTAACATTGACTAATGAACTTTGAAATGAGGTCAAGGTCAGTTGATATTTACAAGACAGACATGTCCACCTTACAATCATTCTGTGCATTAATTATAGCTGACCTATTGCTTATAGTATTTATGAAACAAATCTAACATTGACCAATAAACCAATAAAATGAAATCAAGGTCAAATGAAACCTACCTGACTAAAACATACACTTAACAATCATTCCATACACTACATATATTGACCTACTTATAGTATCTGAGATACCGACTTAATCATGTAACTTTAACCTTGATCACTGATCCACGAAATGGGGTCGGGTCAGGTGAATCCTGTCTGACGAACTTATAGACGTTGCAATGAACCATACAACCAAATATAGTTATCCTATTACTCATAATAAGTGAGAAATTCACATGACAAAAAAGAGGAAAGATTTTTTTTTTTAAGCAGCCCCTCAACCATGAAAATGAGGCTAAGGACAGTGGACATACAATAGACAGAAATCTTGTCACATAAGGCATCTGTATACAAAGTATGAAACATCCAGGTCTTCTTCCTTCTGAAATTTAAAGCTTAATACAAATAGTTTACACCACCACCTGATTGTAATCCCTATGTCTCTCATTCTGTGAGTTTCGTCGAGACAAAACATTATGAACATCTAAACATCCAAGGTTTATGATTTCTTTCCTCCCTTAAGTTCTACATCTTTTCTATAACAGGCATTTACTTTTATTACAATTTTTTTGATTTTTATATGTGAGTCTTGATACTAAGCATTCTGTTCATTGGGCCATTTTATATCAAACACATTCTGAAGTACCAGTACTTTTGATAGAAGCTGCCTCCTGAGATAAATTATTTGCTTTGATTGCTGTCTTAACGGAGTGTATTTGATGTGTAGTTTGAGTAGTATCTTGTTGACTGTCTTTTGTACTACATTGTTTGTTTGAAGTTTCTGTAGTATTTGATGAGGTTAATTAGTTTCTGTAGTATTTGATGAGGTTAATTCTTTAGTAGTACTACATTGTTTGTTTGAAGTTTCTGTAGTATTTGATGAGATTAATTCTTTAGTAGTACTACATTGTTTGTTTGAAGTTTGTGTAGTATCTGATGAGGTTAATTCAGATGAGTTTTCTCCATCCTGCTGAACATAACTCTTCACTGAATCGTCTTCTGTAATACAAAAAAAAAAATTTAATACAACAAGAATTGTCCGTTAAGCTGGACTTGTACCTTCTACATTGTGGCTAGACATTTGAATAAGCTAGTGACTGAAATACAGCGAATCAAAGAAGTTAATAATATTAATTTGAACTTTTTTATCTGATGTTTTATTTGATGTCATCTCTGATGCATTTACCATTTTAAGTATCATTGCAATGACAAGGTCTGTTCTGCCAAAATTTCTGAGTTGAAAAGATCATAACTGAAAAAAACCTCAATGGACCACAAAAGCCTACCCACATGCACATCTGTACATTAGGATCTAACAATCTACTAGGTTTTTTGTAGACAAAATAAACCATGTAGGAGTAGTTGTAATGACAAGGTCGGTTCTGCTAAAATTTCTAAGTCCAAAGGGGCATATCTATAAAAAAAAACCTCGATGGAACAGAACATCCTACCCACATGCACATAGGATTAGGATCTGACAATGTACAAAGTGTCATGCTGATACAAAAAACCACATAGAAGAGGCTGCAATAACAAGGTTGGTTCAGTCAAAATTTCTAAGTTGAAAAGGGCATAACTAGCAAAAACTCAATGGACCAGAAAATTCTACACACATATGCAATACTACATATTAGTATCTTACAATGTACAAAGTTTCATCTAGATGTGATGAAACAAGAAGTAGTTGCAATGACAAGGTTTGTTCAGAAGTGTCTAAATTTCTCAGGGGAAAGGGGCATAATTTTGGATGAAATATTCAGAATAAAAATTCCTTCACATAGCAATGTTTGTATACGGTATCATGATCTTTTATTCTACAAAGTTTGAATTGAATCAAAGAAAGGATAAAGAAGTTGGTCTGGACAGACAGATGGACAGATGGACAGACAGACAGGCTGATTCCTATATATCCTAGCAAACATACTGTTTTTTTCTACAATTAATCATTCATTTAATAGTTGCTTATTCAGTTTTAAAAGGCAACATGTGAGTGATAAATCCTATGCCCTGTGTTGGGTAAGTGCCACTTTTCTGCACGTTAATGAACCCTTGCATCAACTCTCTGAGGGGTTTTTAGTTGGCCTATTTCTGGGCAAAATTGCTGACGCTATATCCATCATAATCACTTTTTACATTTACAGTCCAAATTTTTCCAACACTTCATCACTGCCTACATCCCTTGAAGAAAATACTTATTGTAATAATATTTAAGGATTAATTTTACCCTTTATAAAATAGTAATTTAAATTACCAATATGGACACATTGATTTATTAACCCTCTTTCAAACTGTTACTTATGTAGCCATTTTAGACCATGAGTTAAATAAACCTTTATCAAACTATCTAACCCACTGTTCATTTCATCCTTCATCTTACCATAACATGTACTTTCTTCTGCCCCACGATAACCATCTTCATCATCTGAACTGTTCAATAACATCCTTCCACTAGAATACGATTCATATGAGCAACCGGAGGATTGAGGTGAATCCTCACCGCTGTTTATATCTGAGAAGGATTCACATACAGATTGAGAGCTTCCATCTTTAATAGAGCCTTTTAGTACAAAGTCATTTTCATTCTTTGATCCTACTGAGCTATAACCTGCATTACTGTAGACAGCAGAATATTGACTGTCTTTTTCACTATTACTATTAGTATGTGAAGTCTTGAATGTGGAGGTAGAAAGTGTCTCATGTCCACTGTCTTTATTATGTTCCTTAAAAAAGAATATGTATTGATATATAATTACATTAAAATCCATACTTTTGATTGGCCGACAACAATCGTGATGCATTCCAATACTAATGTTGATGGGGGAACTTTCATATTCTCTGATTAATTTGTTCAATATTTTCACATAATCTAGAGCTCCACAAATTGTATAAACACCTTTCTATTGGTCTACAGAGTATTTTGACTTCTTGATGTCTCTATTTATGGTTGCTCATGCGTATATTGATTTTTTAGTCACGTCTCCCTTTACCCAAAAAGTAACAATGAATAAATGATAAATAAGGCTAGTACTTTTTTTTTCCATCATAACCTGTAAATATACTAACAGGTGTCTTGCATGATTATCAAGTCAATTTTTCTTGTAAACTTTTACTCACCATGTAATTTATCTTGACTACAGGTAACTCTATCTCAGGTGGTTTGAAAATCTCTTTAACTTTTCCACAACAATCAATCCTTAACAAAATAACATAAAAGTTTTATTATGGTGAGCTGATGTATGGACAGTAATACATGCAGTTGAGTTTTCTGAATTGAATTGTATCATGTTTTTCATGTTGTGGCCTTTTATAGCTGACTACATGGTATGGGTTTTTCTCATTGTTGAAGGCTGTACGGTTGCCTATAATTTCTTACATTCACTTTATTTTGAACTTTGGTGGATAGTTGTCTTATTGGCAATCATACCTCATCTCCTTATTTTTATATTATATAGTAAAACAAAGAATACATTTAATTTCATCTCTGTGTAAAATGTACAGAAGAAAATAGAGGAATTGTTACATATCTCCTTATTGTATTTGGTTGCGTTTCATGATTATTTAGTTGTTGGTAATTATCTAATTGTTGAATATCCTTCAGTTGTTGATGAACATTTAAACAATAGTTTTATTTTATCTTCAAATTTTTGTAGATATACTTTTCTTATTGCATTTTTTAGTTTATTTTTCACGTTTTAGAGACTAACACAAGTAGCTTATTTATTGCGAACCAAATGTAACTTTTCCACAGAGTCATCTCCTATTGGTCAATCTATTTAAACTTTTGTCAGTTCTGTTTTCCCATTGAACAAACATGTATTTTCATCTTTTAGAAGATATTTTTTTTACTCAGGTAAGTTAATCAATGAGTGATGGATTTCTCTTAAAAGAAATTTAAAGGTCCCAGCGAATAAACAACACAGAGAACAATAGCTATTGTATTTATTCAATGGGACAATAGAACTGACAAAAGTTTAGATTGACCAATAGGAGATGAATCTGTGGAAAAGTTTCATTTGGTTCAATGAGAACACACTGCAGACAATCTGAATTTTTTGGGAATTTAGGCTTGTTTAATTCATTATTGATACCACAAGAGGCTGCATCCTTCACTCTAGGTTTTTTTTATGGTGTATGTGACATTTTAGTTTACTCTGTGCTTGAAGCCATACTATATACAAGTTTTACCGTACAGATTTTATCTAACACAGTGATATTTTACTGCTATACCTCCGAAGTTTGAAAACTCACCTAAAAACACACTATATACAAGTTTTACCATACAGATTTTATCTAACACAGTGATATTTTACTGCTATACCTCCGAAGTTTGAAAACTCACCTAAAAACACAAACTACTAAAGTGATGACAATACCAACAAATAAAACCACACCAATTACGATACCTGCTATTTCTGATTGTGATAAGTCTGCAAAAAAATACTAATTTTATACATAATATCTTTTGATACTGGAAAACAAATTTCCTATTGAAATACTTACATGTACACCAATTGACAAAAGGTATTGTGAGTTATTCTTAATTTATTATACCCCAACTCAATGCTGTTGACTAAATGTGACAAGTACGTTGTATTTCTTATATGCGCATGGCATTCCATGCCATTTGATAAGTTTTTGGCAAACATTAAGTAGAACACTGAAGGAACTGTAAATGTGTCACACTATATGGCATACCTAGAGGAAGCTTGTGCCATATACCAAGAAGCTATGACCTTTGTTTCTTGGAAAAATAGAAGAAATGTGCAATGGATAGAGGGATGCATAGAGAGAGGTAAACTAGTATTGCCCCTCTTTTGCAGCATGAATATACAAATTTGTTTCATTTAAGGCAATGTTTGACAGCAAAAACCATAATGTCAATAATAATTTTTTTTATTTGTAACAAGAATGTGTCCATATATAGTACACGGATGCCTAACTCGCACTATCATTTTCTATGTTCAGTGGACCATGAAATTGGGGTCAAAACTCTAATTTGGCATTAAAATTAGAAAGATCATATCATAGGGAACATGTGTACTAAGTTTCAAGTTGATTGGACTTCAACCCAAAAAAAAAAAATTGTTTCCCTCAAGATATGTTCATAATCTCAATTCAAATTTCCAATGGAGTTTGCAACCATAATTACAATTTAAATACATCATAAAAGTCTTAAATAGATAATTTCAAAGCAGCGTAAGGGAGGTAATCCAACATTGTACAACATTGTACAATTTTGTTTTTGGATTACCTCCCTTTCACTGCTTTTAAATTGTCCATTAACCAGGAAACCCTTGTTTTTTCCCCTTTTTTGCCCCTAATTCCTAAACGGTTTGATCCATAACCCCCAAAGCCAATCCTAACCATCCCTTTGTGGTATGGAAACTTGTGATATAATTTCAGAGAGATCCATACACTTAAACACAAGTTATTGTCTAGACGTTACAAAAATGCTTATTTTTGGCCCTTAACTCCTTAACTGTTGGTATCATAACCCCCGAAATCAATCCCAACCTTCCTTTTGTGGTATTGAACATTATGGTAAAATTTCATAGAGATCCATTCACTTAAACTAAAGTTATTGTGCGAAAACCAATATGTCTTCAGATGACGACAACGCCAACGTCATACAAATATACTTTTGCGGTCATATGAAAAACAGACCAAAACACAAAAACTTAACTTTTACCACAGAACCATGAAAATGAGGTCAAGGTCAGATGACACCTGCCAGTTGGACATGTACAACTTACAATTATACATACACCAAATATAGTAGACCTATTGCTTACAGTATCTGAGATATGGACTTGACCACGAAAACTTAACCTTGTTCACTGATCCATGAAATGAGGTCAAGGTCAAGTGAAAACTGTTTGACAGGCATGAGGCTACGCAGATACCAAATATGGATATCCTTTTACTCATAATAAGAGAGAAATTAACATTACAAAAAATCTTAACTCTTTTTTCAAGTAGTCACTGAACCATGAAAATGAGGTCAAGGACAATGGACATATGACAGACGGAAACTTCATATCATAAGGCATCTATATACAAAGTATGAAGCATCCAAGTCTTCTACCTTCTGAAATATTAAGCTTTAAAAAAGTTAGTTAATGCTGCCACAGCTGCCAGATCACTATCTCTATGTCAAGCTTTCTGCGACAAAAGTCGCAGGCTTGACAAAAACAAAACAATTTTTTAGTTAATGAAAGTGTGAATGGAAAATGTCTAACGCACCGTTACATTGATTAGTGAACTCAACCAGAATATTATTAACCCTAACAATAACAACAACTGAGTTACCCTGGGGTTCTGAAACACCTGAGTTACCCTGGGGTTCATGTTGCTGTTTGGTGTGCAGTGTTTTGTGAATTGTTGTTTTGTTTTTTTTGTCTTTTTTGTTTGCCTACAGTTAACTTATTGTGTTTGATTGCCTTATTGCTAACTTCATCCTTTGAAGTGTAAAAGAAAAATAAACATACAAACCCAGACCAAGACAGATTTGTAGTAAACCAATGAACTGACATGTAAATTGTTATATATCTCTGACCTTTACCATTACAAGCGACTTTTATTTTTCCCATCAAGAAAATAATTCTTCTTCAGAAGATTTCACAATCAAAAGAGGCATTCTGACAACATAAAATTTCCCTCCATATACCAGCAGGAACATTGGATGAGTATACAAAAATGCAATTAAATATTTACTCTGAAGTTTTGAAAAACTATTTAAATAACTTGAATAAGAAGATGTATTGGAACTTCTTGAAAAACTATGAAAATAACATCAATCAAGATAATGTACTCTTGTAACAAAGTGAACGTCGATCAAGCATTAGATTGTGAGGGAGGTCTGGTGAATTATAAATTCAAACTGGTTAAGAACTTTTTGCTAATGTAGTTAAGAATTACCATCATATCATTTAAATCAGGTCAGAATATTTATAACATATGTTAATTTGTACATCAACTGCTAGCCCCACTCTTCTGGCTCTTTTATTACTCTCTTTATATATCAATGCCTCTGAATAATTAACTAATGATCGCTAACTTTTTACCAGTGAATTTTAATTCACACCTATTACTATGTAATAACAACTATTATCTGTTATATTCAATCACTTTTAAAGGTAACAAAATAAAAAATTCCATGATTTCCTGTCAATTTGATAAACAGAATGAATCCTGGAAATGAATCCAGAATTATTCATACTTTAGTAGTGTTGTGAAACTTCCAGTTTTAATTTCAAAATCGAAAAAACATTAGTGATGTCTGAGAAATTTACCATTTTGAGTCATTAAAATGATCATCTAAATTTTAAACTGTTGTCTTCTATTATGAACATTTTTAGAAAAACAGGTGTTGATGATATGAATCTAGTGTGAATAATTTTGACAGTTGAAATAAACTGCTTTGCTGAGCGCAGCTGGATACGCCCGCAGAGGTCCAACCCTGAACAGTTGGGGCAAAAATAGACACAATATTCAAGCTTGATACAGGTCTGAATTAAGATTGTAACTAAATATTTGATATATTATAGGTTTCTGAATAAATGTAGTCAAGGAACTTGAAATTGGTTACATGAAAGATTTCTTGCTGTTGTGCAATACACTGTGCTGTTGCGCAATACTTACATGTAGTAAATATGTTGTCAGACTATAAACAAATAAAATCTTATAATTCGGAAACATAAAATCGAAAATTTATAAAAATCAAAAGGGAGCTTACAAAAATAGATATAAACAATTTACCAAAGTTTCATAAAAAACGCTGAAAACATTTTTGAGTTATTGTCCGAAAACTGGAAAATCCACCTTTTTGTAATGAATAAAACCCCATAAATCGGAAACGTATAGTCTGAAATTTATAAAAATCAAAAGGGAGCTCATGTCGATAGAAATAAACAATTCACCAAAGTTTCTTGCAAATTGGTGAAATTGTTTTTGAGTTATTGTCTGAAAACTGGAAAATCCCCCCTTTTTTAATGAATAAAACCCCCAAAACTCGGAAACGGTAAATCCCAAAATTTATAAATAAACTGCTTTGCTGAGCACAGCTGGATCTGAACAGTTGGGGCAAAAATGGACACAATATTCAAGCTTGATACAGGTCTGAATTTGGATTGTAATTAAATATTTGATATATTATAGGTTTCTGAATAAATGTAGTCAAAGAACTTGAAATTGGTTATATGAAAGATTTCTTGCTGTTGTGCAATACACTGTGCTGTTGCGTAATTCTTTGTAAATCTGTTGTCAGACTATAAACAAATAAAATCTTATAACTCAGAAATATAAAATCGAAAATTTATAAAATTCAAAAGGGAGCTTACAAAAATAGATATAAACAATTTACCAGTTTCATAAAAAATACTGAAAACATTTTTGAGTTATTGTCCGAAAACTGGAATTTCCACCTTTTTGTAATGAATAAAACCCCATAAATCGGAAATGTATAGTCTGAAATTTATAAAAATCAAAAGGGAGCTCATGTCAATAGATATAAACAATTCACCAAAGTTTCTTGCAAATTGGTGAAATTGTTTTTGAGTTATTGTCTGAAAACTGGAAAATCCCCCCTTTTTTAATGAATAAAACCCAAAAACTCGGAAACGGTAAATCCCAAAATTTATAAAATAAAATGCTTCGCTGGGCGCAGCTTGATACGACCGCAGAGGTCGAACCCTGAACAGTTGTGGCAAGTATGGACACAACATTCAAGCTTGATACAGCTCTGAATTTGGATTGTGATTAAATATTTGACACAGCATAGGTTTCTGACACAGAAAGAATGTGGTCTAAGAACTTCAATTTTTTTAATTTACCTATTATGGTCCAATGTCCAAAATCAAAATACATGGTTAGATTCAGCATATCAAAGAACCCCATATATTCAATTTTTGTTGAAATCAAACTAAGTTTAATTTTGGACCCTTTGGACCTTAATGTAGACCAATTTAAAAAACGGGACTTAAAATTAGAAATCTAAATACATGGTTAGATTTGGCATATCAAAGAACCCCAATAATTTAATTTTTGATGAAATCAAACAAAGTTTAATTTTGGACCCTTTTGACCTCAATATGAACCAATTTGATAGCGGGCCCACAAATAAAAAATCTAAATACATGGTAAGATTCAGCATATCAAAGAACCCCATATATTCAATTTTTGTTGAAATCAAACAAAGTTTAATTTTGGACCCCAATTTGGACCAACTTGAAAACTGGGCCAAAAATCTAAAATCTAAATACATGTTTAGATTCAGCATATCAAAGAACCCCATATATTCAATTTTTGTTGAAATCAAACAAAGTTTAATTTTGGACCCCAACTTGGACCAACTTGAAAACTGGGCCCATAATCAAAAATCTAAACACATGTTTAGATTCAGCATATCAAAGAACCCTAAGAATTCAATTTTTGTTAAAATCAAACTAAGTTTAATTTTGGACCCTTTGGACCTTAATGTAGACCAATTTAAAAAACGGGACCCAAAATTAAAAATCAAAAATACACGGTTAGATTCGGCATATCAAAGAACCCCAATAATTCAATTTTTGATGAAACCAAACAAAGTTTAATTTTGGACCCTTTGGACCTCAATGTGGACCAATTTAAAAACGGGGCCCAAAATCCAAAAACTTAATACACGGTTAGATTCAGCATATTAAAGAACCCCAAGAATTCAAGAATAAAACCCCATTGAAATTGATCAAGAAATAAGCAATTTATACGAAGTATCTTCTTTTGCACAATACTGTGCAATTGAATATTTCTTGCTATTGCGCAATACTGTACAATTGACAATTTCTTGCTATTGCGCAATATTGTGCTATTGGATATTTCTTGCTATTGCGCAATACTGTTAAATTGAAGATTTCTTGCTATTGCGCAATACTGTGCAATTGAAGATTTCTTGCTATTGTGCAATACTGTGCAATTGAAAATTTCTTGCTATTGCACAATACTTATTATATAATAATTTACACATCCTGTTTGATGTGTATCTCCTACCATATCATTATTATTTGCTTTTAAATATAAATCAGAAATAACCAACTTAAAATGGAAAATTTTAAAAGAAAAAAAAAAGGAAAAAAAGAAAAAAAAAAAAAAAAAAAATCCCCCCCCCCAAATTTTTTGAACCCCCTTATGATTCATCACCCCCAAACTCAATCCCAGCCTTCCCTTTGTGGTATGGTACCTTGCAGTACAATTTCAGAGAGATCCATACACTTGAACACAAGTTATTGTCTGGAAACTAGAAAAATGCTTATTTTTGGCCCCTTTTTGGCCCCCAATTCCTAAACGTTTCGGGCAATTACCCCCAAACTCAATTCCAGCTTTCCCTTTGTGATATGGAACCTTGTAGTACAATTTCAGAAATATCCAAACACTTACACACAAGTTATTGTCATGAAACTAGAAAAATGCTTGTTTTTTGCCCCTTTTTTGGCCCCTAATTCCTAAAATTTTGAGGCAATTACCCCCAAAATCAATTACAGCCTTCCCGTTGTGATATGGAACCTTGTGGTACAATGTCAGAGAGATCCATACACTTAAACACAAGTTATTGTCTGAAAGTTACAAAAATGCTTATTTTTGGCCCCTTTTTGGCCCCTAATTCCTTAACTGTTGGTACCATAACCCCCAAAATCAATCCCAACCTTCCTTTCGTGGTATTGAACCTTATGGTGAAATTTCATGGAGATCCATTCACTTAAACTAAAGTTAGAGTGCGAAAACCAATGTGTCTTCGGACGACGCCGGACGACGCCGGACGACGACGACGACGACGACGACGCCAACGTCATACCAATATACGACCAAAAAATTTTTAATTTTTGCGGTCGTATAAAAATAAAAGTGAGCTAATGTCAATAGATATGAACAATTCACAAAAGTTTCTTGCAAATATTGGTGACATATTTTTTGAGTTATTGTCCCAAAACTGGAAAATCCCCCCTTTTTTAATGAATAAAACCCCAAAACTAGGAAACGGTAAATCCGAAATTTATAAAAAACGAAAGGGAGCTCACGTCAATAGATATGAACAATTCATAAAAGTTTCATGCAAATTAGTGAAATTGTTTTTGAGTTATTGTCCGAAAACTGGAAAATCCCCCTTTTTTATTGAATAAAACCCCAAAACTCGGAAATGGTAAATCTAAAATTTATAAAAAACGAAAGTGAGCTCACGTCAACAGATATGAATAATTCACCAAAGTTTTATGCATATTGGTGAAAGTGTTTTTGAGTTAATGTCCGACATGTTGACGACAGACAGGCGGACAACGGTATACCATAATACGTCCCGTAAACGGGCGTATAAAAACGAAAGGGAGCTCACATCAATAGATATATACAATTCACATAAGTTTTATGCATATTGGTAAAAGCGTTTTTGGATTAATGTCCGACATGTTGACGACGGACGGATGGACAGACAGACGGACGACGGAGCGACAGACGGTCAATTGTATACCATAATACGTCCCGTAAACGGGCGTATAAAAAGGGGCCCAACTTTTAAGTCATCTCAAAATGACCGAAATTGTGTAAAAAAGTTTCTGGATTCTTGTTCTCAAGCTTATAATTGGGAATTCAAGGATATGATAGCTACAATATGTCTCCTCTTTAAATGGGGGTAGAATAATTTAACATTTTTTAAAAAGACATGAAAGAATGTAAGAACATATTTTTTCAATAAAATCAACTATAAAATTTTAATCATTTATTTATCATTTTATTGATTGGAATTGAGAGTGATATAAATAAAAAAGAAAAGAGATAGAAAACATGAAATATACAAAGATGTCATTAAAAACTATTGTCCAAACACAGCATATAATCATCAAATTACATCACAAAAATCACCTTACACTAACTGTCTAACAAAAAGTTCATTGAAGAAACAAACACAGAAGGCTTTAATATACAGGGAATTCCATAAGATGTCACCCCAGATCTTTTGAGTGTGCATGGAAGAACAATAAAAGTTGTCCTGTAATGGTAAAATTTATTTTAATATAAATGCAGAAATCAGAATAATTGAATTCACATTAAAAATACATTGAATGTTTGAATTTGTTGTCAGTAAAAAAAAATAGACTGCACATACAAAAGTTGAATCCCTTTAAATTTTACTATAGTACTAAAGAATGTGACATTACTTTTAGTTCAAATTTGCTTGAATTTAGTAAAAAGAAAGTGATCGGGGTAACATCTAGATAGGCAATAAACAAGAACTATTAATACTAAAAGTACAGATTTGGAGGGGAAACAACCAAAATTGCTCCTTAGAGCCTGAATCTCCCATCTGGAGTTAATTTGCTACAGTGACCTGATGTCTTAGCAATCAGTAGCAGCCATATTTTATTGCTATCATGGACATGATCAACAATTTTTTAACTACACTGACAAGTTGCGAGAAATATGGGAATCACATGTATGCTTCATACTAAAGAAAATAAATAAGAATTACTATACATCGTTTATTAAAAATAAATTTACTTACAATTAGCCTTTGGTATGATGATAGTTGATGTATTAGAATAGCCTGCCTTGCCCCATGATTTCATGGTAATAGTTATTGGTTGGTCACATGGAATATCCATTGGCTGCTGCAGGTGGTCTGAATCAGAACTATTAGCATGATATTCTTTTAATAGACCATCGTTAGGACTAGATGCTGATATATAATATCCAAGAAAAGGACCATTCTGATACTCTTTACCTAAAGCCTGAAAAAACAAATATTTTTTATATACAATGCTATCATACACCCAGTAAAATAATGTTTAATAATGTTTATTATGACTGAAATAATTTATGATTGACAGACAGACAAACAGACACACACACACAGGGACAAGCTCATTACTATAGGCCTTCCCCAGATTAACCGACAGAGCCCTTTTAAGACACACACACACACACAGGGACAGGCCCATTAGTATAGGCCTTCCCCAGATTAACCGACAGAGCCCTTTAAAGACACACACACACACAGGGACAGGCCCATTACTATAGGCCTTCCCCAGATTAATTGACAGAGCTCTTTAAAGACACACACAAACACACACACACAGGGAAAAGCCCATTACCATAGGCCTTCCCAAGATTAACCGACAGAGCCCTTTAAAGAAACACAGAATTACAAACATTGATTACCGGTATACCCCCTAGGATTAACTTTTTATTATATTTTTTATGCCCCTCAAAGGTCAAAGTTAAATGTGCATGGAATTCAGTGTTTTTTCTTCTTCCGGCCACATTGATAATAACAGCATCTGTCATTTCCATGGAGCAATAGCACACATTGGGTAAGAAAGTTTTGCAATCAAAACAAGTAACAGTAATTCTGAAGACAATGAAGCAGTTTAGGATAAAGCATATTCAGTGGACTCCACTTACTCAGATGTCGGCTTAAGGAATATATTGGCACAGTAAAAGTATTTCAAAACACCTAATTCCTATATGTTTTATGTAATTTTTTGTGTATACAATATCGGATATAAGAATACATCCGGGCATGGGATAGGAATATTGCTATTGCTACACAGAAATTACAGTTGCTGTCACTATTATCATGTCTCTAAGGACAACAATCAAACCGACATGAAATATCCAGAAGTATTAATTTGTATTTATCCGTCAACACTTGGTCTACAAATACATCTGAGTTTTATTGATATATTTTAAAAATATCTGACAGAAATTTCATGTCCTTGTTACTTGAAGGTAAGAGAACTGAAAGAGTAATTTTTCATTTTGCTATTTTCCTGAGCTTCAAATTTTCCAAGACTGTGGCAAACAAAGTACATTTCTAAAGAATATTCTGGAAAATAAGCTGACTACCTGTACATCACATCAGTTCAATGTAAAAATGAGTTTCCTTGGTGGCAGCCATATTTGATTTCAGGTATTCATCAGGAGACAGGATTGCTAGTGAGGTCCTTTAGGTAAGTGGTTTCTTGGTTGAAGATTGTAAGATGTGAAACTAGTGACAACTGTGAGTCAACTTACAAAAGGATACCTCAACCCTTCAATACTACTAAAAATTTACTAGGCAGTTATATCATTATTGCTTTGTAAATTTGATTGTCTCCCCTTTAACATGTCGTACCAGGATTATACTCCTTTATGCAAATCATCATGTGGTGTTCTACAACAGTGTAAAAATCATTTGTATATGCCTAGAAGTTTAGGAGTAGTTGTGCTTACAAGCAAATGGACAGAAGACAGGTTGACAGGGTGATTCCAATTTACACCTAAAACTTTAGTTTGTGGGGGGTATAAATATGCTAAGATAAACTGTGGCAACTCATATCAGATGAGTATAAAAGTAAAACTTCAAGACCTGTAGCCTCTGTGTTGATTGAAAATAAAGAATCTAAATACCTTCCAAAGAACTGATATTCTGCGGGCATTATTGATGCAATCTTCATCTAACACTTGATAGCCACTGTTCACAAATTCAGGTGGTCTGGATGGTTCTAAAAATAACACAAATATATATCAGACTATAGTTTTTAAAGTGTTGTCTCTTTTATGTTTATCCGTATCTTTTTTCATTTATTCCTCAGGTTTTCACATAATTTCCATAATTCATACTTGAAATTTTCATGATATACTCTCTCTTTTTAAACAAAGTTTGTTTTCATTTTTGTGCTAAGTTTAATTAAAGTTATGATATGTAATATGTTACTGGCACCCCTGCCTGCTCCTCTGACATCACAGTACCGTAAGCTAGTTTTGGACTTTGTCCAACCAATGCCCAGTGTTGAATAGAACTAAAAAGTATGGATAAATATTATAATCAATGGGATAAAGTACTTTCGCTAATTCTTCGTCAATTTATCCCTTTCTGCACCCATTGTATAAAAAAAATTTAATCAACGTGTGGTTCGTTTGATCTCAGTTCTTCATTGGTTAAAATCTGATTATGACGTCGAATTTTCTTGCTTTCCTCTGAATTTCCTATTGTGACGACATGAAAAAAGGCGACCATGCCTGATGACGTCACATAGAAAGAACACATCTTTTTGCAGATCATTCAAAAAGAAGGAAGAAGTTTGCCTGCATATTGTTTGAAAATCATTAGAGAAACAGATTCCACCACCAAATCTCATGTAATACGATATTTATCCACTCTCGACAGTTAAATTTTAATTATTTAAAACGCTCGGCGAGCCTCGCGTTTTAAATTTGAAAATTTAACTGTCTCGAGTGGATAAATATCGTATCACACTCGATGCAGTGGTAGAATCTATATGTAAATTCAGAAATTATAATCAATGGGATAAAGTACTGTAAATTCAGAAATTATTGCAAGGTTTTATTAATGCGAATAATAATGCAACTGGGATATTATAGCAATTGTAAGAACTCGCATTCTGATATCTGATAGATGTATCTATATACAACTTTTCCGAAATAGTAATAAAGAATCTCGCATTTTTGTCCATTCTTCAGAAATCACAATAATAAATGCATGCAATAATTTCTGAATTGACAGTAGAACTTCTGTTTTTCTAATGGTGTTGATTAGAAAGTCCCAGTGTTATGTACCAAATACTTTTTGAGGGAAATCGCTAATAAGAATTTAATGGACAGTTGGTTTCTAAAAAAATAACTCCCAATTCGTCAGAAACGGTTTAAATGCTACTAAGGACTCTCTGTTGTTTTTACACATTATCTTAAAATACATCTTACTATCCATATCTGTATTGACTGAGATGTAAACAGGATCACTTGGATAGCCTACATCTTTGCCTGGTCTAGTTTCAATGGAGAAATTATATCTCGTGTAAGGCTTCAAGTCACAAACTGTTATACTAGTATCTTGTGTTTCTTCCAGCTGGAAAATTAACAAATAAAGAATGAGATATCTTAGAGTGTACATCCTCTAAATATAACATAAGTCTAACCATTTGGTCATAATGTACCCTATTATCATTTCTATAAGGAATATTAGAAAAATTGATAGCTGTTAAGACAAAAATTGCCAATGAAGCTCCTAGAAAATTCATCCAGGAAATCAGAAAACATCTAATTAGTTGACAGAAAATAACGTGCATTGTTGAAACATTTTTACTCTAACATCAATTGACACATTTAACAACTGACATTTACATGTGTATTGTGTATTCAGCTTTCTTAACTATAGTTTTATGATATCTTTTTGAACTTTAAACAGTAGCTGAAATTTTTGTACAATAACACAGTAAATAATAATTCTTCAAACTTAAGAAGACATAACAAAGACACTTATTATTGCCCCTTAAGTCTGACAATGGCAAAACATCATTTTACATTAGATTTTCATTGCTAAGAATGGAGAAAGGCAAAAAAATTTTCATTCTCCATAACACCCATTTCATTAAAAATTTTAATCAGAAGAAATATGAAATTTAATGTGCTTCCTTCTCTTTTCTATGAAATTCTATTATGATACTGTGGAAACATTATTATTCATGGGATACCAATTTTCAATGATTTTTGGGATAAAGGTGAACCACAAATTGAAATGTTCAACAAAAGTACAAATTTGCTATAGGCTTGCTTGTATGCAGACTTTAGCAAGCCATGAAATCATTTATAAACGGAAATACAATTTTTTTTTAATCCATGGAAATAGACTATTTTCATATTACCGACTTTTGACTCCGGATTATATAATTTGTCGACTGGTTACCTTGGACATCATGGTACCAAGTCAGATAAGAGCAAGCTAAAGAAGTAAAACCAAGCTTTCAATCGGTACAATTTTTGGGGAAAATTACCTACTTAACAATTTGTTTTCACTACAAAATCATCGGAAAACAGTAAACTTTCCCCTCAAATTACACCGATTATATGTGTGATTTTACTTATTTTGGTTGCTCTTACTTGACCGAGTACCATGATGTCCAAGGTAACCAGTTGACAAATTATATAAACCAGAGTCAAAAGTCGGTAATATGAAAATAGTCTATTGGTACTAACGAAAAATAAATAAATCCACAGTGTTTATTTTTGGAAGGGTATAACAGGGAACTAGTTATAAATTAATTTTCAATTTCCCTTATGCATGAAGAAATTGAACAGATATACAAGGAGTAGATGTGTATCTTTATTTTTTCCCTTTTTGTGTTCTGTCTTACACATTGCGGATTGTTGCTTAGTTCAACAATACATATGGCAGTATAAAAGGAAAACCCACTACTGAGTATATGTCAACAGAAAACAATAAAATGCTCCGCAGGGCGCAGCTTGATACGACCGCAGAGGTCGAACCCTGAACAGTTGGGGCAAGTATGGATACAACATTCAAGCTTGATACAGCTTTGCATTTGGATTGTGATTAAATATTTGACACAGCATAGGTTTCTGACACAGAATGAATGTGGTCTAAGAACTTAAAAATTTTAAATTGGACATTCACCTATTATGGTCCAATATCCAAAATCTAAATACATGGTTAGATTCAGCATATCAAAGAACCCCAAGAATTAAATTTTTGATGAAATCAAACAAAGTTTAATTTTGGACCCTTTTGACCTCAATGTGGACAAAGTTGATAACGGGGCCCAAAAATCAAAAATCTAAATACATGGTTAGATTCAGCATATCAAAGAACCCCATATATTCAATTTTTGTTGAAATCAAACAAAGTTTAATTTTGGACCCCTATTTGGACCAACTTGAAAACTGGGCCCATAATCAAAAATCTAAATACATGTTTAGATTCAGCATATCAAAGAACCCTAAGAATTCAATTTTTGTTAAAATCAAACTAAGTTTAATTTTGGACCCTTTGGACATTAATGTAGACCAATTTGAAAACTGAACCAAAAATTAAGAATCTAAATACACGGTTAGATTCGGCATATCAAAGAACCCCAATAATTCAATTTTTGTTGAAATCAAACAAAGTTTAATTTTGGACCCCGATTTGGACCAACTTGAAAACTGGGCCCATAATCAAAAATCTAAATACATGTTTAGATTCAGCATATCAAAGAACCCTAAGAATTCAATTTTTGTTAAAATCAAACTAAGTTTAATTTTGGACCCTTTGGACCTCAATGTGGACTAATTTAAAAACGGGGCCCAAAATCCAAAAACTAAATACACGGTTAGATTCAGCATATTAAAGAACCCCAAAAATTAAAGAATAAAACCCCATTGAAATTGGTCAAGAAATAAGCAATTTATACGAAGTATCTTCTTTTGCACAATACTGTGCAATTAAATATTTCTTGCTATTGTGCAATACTGTACAATTGACAATTTCTTGCTATTGCGCAATATTGTGCTATTTGATATTTCTTGCTATTGCGCAATACTGTGCAATTGAAGATTTCTTGCTATTGCGCAATACTGTGCAATTGAAGATTTCTTGCTATTGTGCAATACTGTGCAATTGAAAATTTCTTGCTATTGCACAATACTTATTATATAATAATTTACACATCCTGTTTGGTGTGTATCTCCTACCATATCATTATTATTTGCTTTTAAATATAAATCAGAAATAACCAACTTAAAATGGAAAATTTTAAAAGAAAAAAAAAAGGAAAAAAAGAAAAAAAAGGAAACCCCCCCCCCCAAATTTTTGAACCCCCTTATGATTCATCACCCCCAAACTTAATCCCAGCCTTCCCTTTGTGGTATGGTACCTTGCAGTACAATTTCAGAGAGATCCATACAGTCTGGAAAATAGGAAAATGTGTTTTTTGGCCCCTTTTTGGCCCCAAATTCCTAAACGTTTAGGGCAATTACCCCCAAACTCAAACCCAGCTTTCCCTTTGTGATATGGAACCTTGTAGTACAATTTCAGAAAGATCCATACACTTACACACAAGTTATTGTCCTGTAACTAGAAAAATGCTTGTTTTTTGCCCCTTTTTGGCCCCTAATTCCTAAAATATTGAGGCAATTACCCCCATCATCAATCCCAGCATTCCCTTTGTGGTATGGTACCTTGCAGTACAATTTCAGAGAGATCCATACACTTGAACACAAGTTATTGTCTGGAAACTAGAAAAATGCTTATTTTTGGCCCCTTTTTGGCCCCAAATTCCTAAACGTTTCGGCAATTACCCCCAAACTCAATTCCAGCTTTCCCTTTGTGATATGGAACCTTGTAGTACAATTTCAGAAAGATCCATACACTTACACACAAGTTATTGTCATGAAACTAGAAAAATGCTTGTTTTTTGCCCCTTTTTTGGCCCCTAATTCCTAAAATTTTGAGGCAATTACCCCCAAAATCAATCTCAGCATTCCTTTTGTGATATGGAACCTTGTGGTACAATGTCAGAGAGATCCATACACTAACACACAAGTTATGTCTGGAAGTTACAAAAATGCTTATTTTTGGTCCCTTTTTGGCCCCTAATTCCTTTACTGTTGGTACCATAACCCCCAAAATCAATCCCAACCTTCCTTTTGTGGTATTGAACCTTGTGGTAAAATTTCATAGAGATCCATTCACTTAAACTAAAGTTAGAGTGCGAAAACCAATGTGTCTTCTGACGACGCCGGAAGACGACGACGACGAAGACGACAACGCCAACGTCATACCAATATACGACCACAAAAATTTGTTTGCGGTCGTATAAAAATCTGAATACACGGTTAGATGCGGCATAACAAATAAATAAATGTGGTCAAAGATTTTACAAATCTAATGCGCCATACTGGTCTTCCTTTATAAATATGCATTTCTTTAAACATAATTTAAAAGCAGTGTAAGGGAAGTAACCAAAACGTTGTATTTGGATTACCTCCCTTACACTGTTTTAAATTATCTTAATTGTTCATTAACCATTACTTTATACATAATTTAAAAGCAGTGTAAGGGAGATAATTTCAATGATGTATTTGATTTATCTCCCTTACACTGCTTTAAATTATGTTTTGTACTAAAGTATTTGTCCATTAATGAGGACAACCTTGTTTTTCCCCCTTTTTTGCCCCTAATTCTTAAACGGTTGGAGCAATAACCCCCCCAAAGCAAATCCTAACCATCCCTTTGTGGTATGGAAACTTGTAGTATAATTTCAGAGAGATCCATACACCGTTCCACAGTTATTGTCTGGAATCTAGAAAATGCTTATTTTTGGCCCCTTTTTGGCCCCTAATTCCTTAACTGTTGGTACCATAACCCCCAAAATCAATCCCAACCTTCCTTTTGTGGTATTGAACCTTATGGTAAAATTTCATAGAGATCCATTCACTTAAACTAAAGTTAGAGTGCGAAAACTAATGCGTTTTCGGACGACGCCGCCGGACGACGACGACGCCAACGTCATACCAATATACGACCACAATAATTTTTTTGCGGTCGTATAAAAATCTGACATCAAGTATATATCAATAGAAATAGAAAACCTGCTTCTGAGAATATGACAATAGAAGAGGAAAACTCACTACTGAGTTTATGTATATAGAATAGGAAACTTGCTACCCAGTATATATGTCTATAGAAAAGGAACATCCAGTGCTGAGTATCTGTCAAAAGAAAAGGAAAACCTGCTTCCCAGTATATTTAAATAGGGAAAAAAAAATTGTTACCAAGTGTGTATCAGTAGAGAAGGAAAACCAGTTACCTAGTGTAGGTCAGCAGAGATGAAAAACCTGTTATCAAATGTATGTCAGCAGAGAAGGAAAACCCAGTTACCAAGTGTATGTCACTTGGGAAGCAAAACCAGTTACCAAGTGTATGTCGACAGAGAAGGAAAATCAGCTACCAAGTGCATGTCAGCAGAGAAGGAAAACCCTCTACCAAGTGTATGTCAGCAAAGATGGAAAACCTGTTTCCAACTGTATGTCAGCAGAGATGGAAAACCTGTTATCAAGTTTATGTCAGCAGAGATGGAAAAACAGTAACCAAGTGTATGTCAGCAGAGAAGGAAAACCAGTTACCAAATGTATGTCAGGAGAGATGGAAAAACAGTTACCAAGTGTATGTCAGGAGAGATGGAAAAACAGTAACCAAGTGTATGTCAGCAGAGAAGGAAAACCAGTTACCAAGTGTAAATCAGCAGAAAAAGAAAACCAGTTACCAAGTGTATATCAGCAGAGAAGGAAAACCAGCGACAAAGTGTATGTTAGCAGAGAAGGACAACCAGTTACCAAGTGTAAATCAGCAGAAAATAAAATGCTTCACTGAGCACAGCCTGATAAGACCGCAGAGGTCGAACCCTGAACAGTTGGGGCAAATTTGAACACAATATTCAAGCTTGATACTGTATGAATTTGGATTGTGATCAAATTTTGACATAATATAGGTTTCTGACACAAATTAAATGAGGTCAAAGATCTTTTAAAAAAATCTATTGAAATTTGAATTTTGAAAAAAAAAATATGAACCCCTTAAAAAATTGGAAAAAAAAAATCCCCCCCCCCCAAAAAAAACTTTTTGACCCCCACTTTGGAGCAATTACCCCCAAACTCAATCCCAGCCTTCCCTTTGTAGTATGGAACCTTGTAGTACAATTTTAGAGAGATCCATACACTTAAACACAAGTTATTGTCTGGAATCTAGAATATGCTTGTTTTTGGCCCCTTTTTTGCCCTCGATTACTGCATGTTTGGGGCAATTACCCCCAAACTCAATCCCAGCCTTCCCTTTGTGATATGGAACCTTGTGGTACAATGTCAGAGAGATCCATACACTTACACACAAGTAATTTCTAAACTGTTGGTACCATTACCCCAAAAATCAATCCCAACCTTCCTTTTGTGGTATTGAACCTTCTTGTAAAATTTCATAGAGATCCCTTCACTTAAACTAAAGTTATTGTCGGGAAACCAAATGTGTCTTCAGAGAGACAACGACGACATCATAGCATTATATGAACCCAAAAAAATTTTAGCAGTCGTATAAAAACCAGTTACCAAGTGTATGTCAGCAGAGAAGGAAACTCACTACCAAGTGTATGTCAGCAGAGAAGGAAAACCAGTAACCAAGTGTATGTCAGGAGAGTTGGAAAAACAGTTACCAAGTTTATGTCAGCAGAGAAGGAAAACCAGTTACCAAGTGTATGTCAGGAGAGATGGAAAAACAGTAACCAAGTGTATGTCAGCAGAGAAGGAAAACCAGTTACCAAGTTTGTGTCAGGAGAGATGGAAAAACAGTTACCAAGTGTATGTCAGTAGAGATGGAAAAACAGTAACCAAGTGTATGTCAGCAGAGAAGGAAAACCAGTTACCAAGTGTATGTCAGCAGAGAAGGAAACTAACTACCAAATGTATGCCAGGAGGGAAGGAAACTCACTACCAAGTGTACGTCAGCAGAGTAGGAGAACCTGTTACCACATTTGTAAACTGAAAAGAGAAACCTGCTACAGAGGGGGTGTATGTCAGAAGAGAAAGAAAACCTGTTACCAAGTGTGTATCAATTGAAAAGTAAAAATCAGTTTCATTTAATATGAAAAAGCATAAAAAACAAAACCTCAAAAAAAGCGTTTTCTCCTAGCAATTGTAAAATTTATAAACACCATCAAAATACACCCCTTTACAGAATAAATATTGTTAACCCATTCACCTGTGCATCATGCCAGTAAGAGTCATTTGTAGTAGCTCTAACAGTGAATAGTTTACTTCTGTTCCGCTTGAGATGATCCCAGTTCAGTGAAACACAGGTACTTTTTACTGAAGCCACTGTAACATTGTGTACTTTATCAGGTTTCACTGAAAATCACAATTAAAATTGTTAGTAGCTAATATTTCTCATATCAATCATTAATATTAAATGTTTTGTGTTTGAACAAAATTAACCCCAAAAATTGTGTTATTTTTTTAAATGCAAATTTGTATATCTGACGAATAAGTCTTGTGATAAAATGCAAAAGAATAAATGCTACATGTAAATTTTTTAGAATGCTTTTCAGTGAGTTTTTTCTTTGTTACCAGTTAAACCTTTAACAATTCGATGCCTGCATTTTATGCACAAAAAGAAAATGTTTATAATTATTGATATTTAATATTATATGATAGTGACTCTTAAAGGGCCTTCTTTGTTATCTGTTACATAAAGACTGTTATTAAAAAAAATTATATATGTGTTGTAAAAAACAAAAATATACATGTATCAATATAATAAGCATGCATGTTTAAATACATTGTATGATTCAGATTTGATTATATGAAGCATGAAACGACTAACAATGACATCATTGATATTTTTAGAACAGATATTAGATTCATGCACCTTGCAAAAGTTATGTAATTTTCTTGACAGGTATAACATAATTTTGTGACTTGAATATCTGAGCATATATTTCATTGATAAATTTATGGAATTGTTCATGGATAGGATGTATAGAATGTTATGATCAATGCACTATATTTTGTGTATATCAAAGGTAGTGATAAACCTTGGAAGATTTAGATATCAAGTCAGTACCATAGGGTTTTGATTGCATTTCATGCAATCTTTACCAAAAAAAAAATGGACGCTTGAGAGTGCTAAAAAAACCAGTTGAAGGAATGGACGCATGAGAGTGCTTTAAAGACCAGTTGAAGGAGTGGACGCATGAGAGTGCTTAAAAGACCAGTTGAAGGAATGGACGCACAAGAGTGCTAAAATGACCATTTGAAGGGATGAACGCACGAGAGTGCTTAAAAGACCAGTTGAAGGGATGGATGCAAACCCTGGTATTTTCTATATATATATTCCCCAGCTCCACTTTGTGTGTGTGTGGGGAGGAGAAGGTCTAAATATTTAGACTTTTAAGAACAAACCTTATGGACCAATACTAGTATGACAGATTATACACTGAGCACTGAATGATACATAACATGACTCCAATTGAATTCTTGTATTTCCTTGTTCTATGATTAATGAAGTTACATGATGGGTCTATAAATGACATTATTAATTTGGACATTGACCCTTTTGTTTTGAAAACATGTGTTTAACTAGTTCAAATTAATGTAAGGGATTAAGGTATTAAATGCACTTGAATCAAACTGTTTCACCTGTCCTATTTTAGGTTTAACAATTTCTTATATATATAGCCCTTAATAAAATTTAACTCAAACTACTCAATGCAAGAAATCTAGTTAATACATGGATGGTTTATGTTATAACAGAAAAAAAAAGGCTTCAATTAAATCAAATGAAACAATGTATACCAGTATATCCATATACAAACTGAGGATTTCTGCATGATGCATAAAATGTATCTACATATATACTGAAATTAAATCATCATTATGACAATGTGCATTCATTACGTGCAAATATTAGTACATGCCAAGTATACAAATTAGAAATACTATTCTAAAGCTGTGAATATACATATTTTTTTCTAATAATGCTTCATAAAATAATACTAATGTTGAAGAACAAAGCAAGCTTCAAATATTTTCAACATAATCTTCATTAAGTCGCTAGACAAAAAAAGAACAACATATGGGAAAATAAAAACCTATAAATGGTATTTTTTCAGCTTTGTTGTATTGGTGGATTGCTGTCTTATTGACATATACACAACATCCACTATCCTACATATCAAATGGCCATGAACAAAACTCTCAAAGTTAAACTTTGACTGAGGTAGTTGCATCTTTAGTTTGAGTACATTTACAAAATTTAATCACTGAAAAATTACAATAACAATGTATAATTGAAATCAAATCAAAATAAAATTTTATTGTTCAATTCAGACACTATTCCATATATCAGAAAGACTGTAAACTTCAAATATCATCAACCACTTTCAAACATGAAAAAAGTTCTCATATGTAAATTTAGGGATAACAAAGATACTTTCATTTCTAATTTGGCCTGTATTCAATTTCAAGTAAATTTCCAGCTATCATGTGATCTCTGACATCCTTTTATTCAAGAGAATTAGTATATATTTCAGGACCAAAGCACTTTAAACACTTAGTAATAAATTAAAGTGAAGTGACATTGTAATTGGATTGTGTTTAAATAAGTCTTCCTAGTTATTCTATGTAATAAACAGACCATACAAATGTCATGTGAGAGGAAATTTGTAAGTATTTCATAATGACTTTCGACCAACTGACCTTAAAATTGATAGGCTACTTTCCTTTCTTACTTTTACGCACTGGTTTAAGTTTTATTTAAAAAAAAAAAAAAATGGGGAATGTGTCCATGGGACACAGATGATGCCCCCACTTGCATATAACGTTATAAAGGGATATAACTCAAGAACTGTTAAAGTGATGCTACCCAAATTTGTACTTGATCTGAGTTTTGTGGTAATAAGCATTGTGTATAAGTTCATAACATTTGGTTGAGGCATATTATTAAAAGTTCGAGAACAGAAACAAATATTTCTGGAATTTTTCCATTTGTAAAGGGCATAACTCTAGAATGGTAACAGTGACGCCACCCAAATTCAAACTTGATCTGTGTTTTGTGGTAATAAGCATTGTGTATAAGTTTCATAACATTTGGTTGAGGCAAACTAAAGTTAGAGAAAGGAAACGAAAAATTCAGCAATTTTTCCATTTGTAAAGGGGCATAACTTTAGAATGGAAAAAGTGACGCCACCAAAATTGAAAACTTGATCTGTGTTTTGTGGTAATAAGCATTGTGTATAAGTTTCATAACATTTGGTTGAGGCAAACTAAAGTGAGAGAACGGAAACCAATTTTGGGACGTACGGAAGAAAATGTTATATAGGGACATAACTCAAGAACTGTAAAAGTGACACTACTCAAATTCTAATTTGATCTGAGTTTTGTGGTAATAAGCATTGTGTATAAGTTTCATAACATTTGGTTGAGGCCAACTTAAGTTAGAGAAATGAAACGAAAATTCAGCAATTTTTCCATTTGTAAAGGGGCATAACTCTAGAACCATAAAAGTGACACCACCAAAATCCAAACTTGATCTGTGTTTTGTGGTAATAAGCATTGTATAAGATTCATAACATTTGGATGAGGCAAATTTTAAGTAAGAGAACAGAAACAAAGATTTAAGCAATTTTTCCATTTGTAAAGGGACATAACTTTAGAAAGGTAAAAGTGATGCCACCCAAATTCAAACTCGATCTGTGTTTTGTGGTAATAAGCATTGTGCAAAAGTTTCATAACATTTGGTTGAAGCAAACTAAAGTTAGAGAACGGAAACGAAAAATTCAGCAATCTTTCCATTTGTAAAGGGGCATAACTCTAGAACGGTAAAAGTGACGCCACCAAAATTCAAACTTGATCTGTGTTTTGTGGTAATAAGCATTGTTTATAAGTTTCATAACATTTGGTTGAGGCAAACTAAAGTTAGAGAAGGGAAACCAATTTTGGGACTTACATACAGATGGACAAGGATAAAACTTAATGCCCCCTCCGCTACGGCGGGGGCATAAAAAACAAGAATTTTAATGCATAGGACACCAAGCCCCTCTCACACTATCATATGTCATAGTTCATTGAACTGTGAAATCAGGGTAAAAATTGTAATTAGACATATAATTTTAAAAGTTCACCCACAATGAACATTGATCTGTATTGATCTAATGAGTTGAGCCCTTTTAACAGATTTCATAGTTGATTTTGGTGATATCCTGTTAACCACTGTCCCAGGTTAGAGGTAGGGTTTGGCACCAGCAAACATGTTTAACCTCCCCACATTACCCGGTATGTGCCTGTCTCAAGTCAGGAGCATGTAATTCAGTAGTTGTCAATTGTTGCTGTATACCACATTTGTTTTTCGTTTATTGTTTTGTACATAAATCAGGATTTTTGTTTTCTTGTTTGAACTGTTTTACATTTTTCATTTCAGGGCATTTTATAGCTTACAATGTGGTTTGGGTTTACTCATTGTTGGTGGCCATATGGTGACCTATAGTTGTTAACTTCTACGTCATTTGGTCTCTAGTGGAGAGTTGTCTCATTGGCAATCATACCACATCTTCTTATTTTTATATGTGTACTACTTTCAAGTTGATTTGAACCACAAACTTTAACCTGGTACAGGATAGACACACAGACCAGAATATATAATGCCTCCTACTACAGTAGGCGGGGCATACAAAGTGTACCTTAAGAAATCACACAGAAACAACAAATATTTTTATATCGTGTTGATTTTTAGCAGCAGTTAATTTGACCTTTTAACTACAAAATTGAGAGGAGTCTTCCCTTTTTATATCTTCAATCTATATGAGTTTCATTTTAAAACAACGAAAGACACTCAAGTGACCTTCAAGGAAAACAATATTGTCAAAAGATTCCTTATTTAGTAAAAGTGACAGCGGACAATTAATAGAACTCTTCCCCTTCCCCGGTCTTCAATCTGTATAAGTTCCCTTCCAATCAATCAAGGTCAACTGAAGTTACCTTCCTGAAAACATCTGTTTCAGATACACAGAATGACGCATATATTGACAAACTGACAAGGTGAGGATTAGGCCATGGACAAATTTTTTGGGGAGCACAAAAATTGTATAGGATGTGTCTTGATCCAATAAAAGTTTTTTTCCATGGAAACTATATATACTTCTGATGACTCCAAATATTCACTACACAATAAATTTATCACCCAGTTAACATTTATAAGCTTGTTTAACTGGTTCTTTCTATAACAAAAGAACTTTAAACAAAGTTTCTGAAATTTTTCTTTTCATTTAAAATTTTTTCTTTATGCTGGTTTCAAAGCCATTAGCTTTTTTCTATCTTTGTATAAGCAACTAGATCTCTGTAAGAATCATATTTCCTGAAACTGGCTTCAGACAAACACAACAGCATTAGATTGGTATACAATCATAAATGGTCTTTTATGTGGCTTCAAAATAATATGATGTAATGAGTGTATGACTTTAAATGGCCAATATACCATAGGTAGCACAATACAGTACTATTAAGGTTGCACTCCTCAGCTGAAACAATTTAACTTTTATCAGAAATCAGATAAGGAGGAAAATCTTCATTGCTTGAATGATACGAATGTGACCTACCGAATTAGACTATTTACCGGATTTGTAATAACATAAGCAACACGACGGGTACCACATGTGGAGCAGGATCTGCTTACCCTTCTGGAGCACCTGATATCACCCCCAGTTTTTAGTGGGAATAGTGTTGCTTAGTCTTTAGTTTTCTGTGTTGTGTCGTCTGTGCTGTTGTTTGTCTGTTTGTCTTTTTGTTTTTGGCCATGGCGTTGTTAGTTTGTTTTCGATCTGTGAGTTTGACTGTCCCTCTGGTGTCTTTCGTCCCTCTCTTGTACAATAGATTGTATATTGAAATGTTCAGTTTCAATATTTTTTTCTGTTTTTTTGCTTCTAAAGATATGCTACAAATCTAGCATTGAAAATCAAAATGTCTGGAAAAAACACAACCAGTCTGGTATGCCCTACTACATTAATGTTAAGGTTTCTCTCATCCGCTGAAACCATTAAACTTTTATCAGAAACAAATTAACAAAGAAAATCTGCATGACTTGAAAGGTACAATAGATTGTACATGGACATATTCAATTTTCTGTATGAGGTTTTTGGTTCTAACTTTTAAGTATTCACTAAAAATCTAGCACTGAAATTCAAAATGTCTGGGGAAAAACACAACCAGTCTGCTACTGTATATTGGGTAATTTTCGCGTCAGCTTTTTTTTCAATTTGATGACAAAATGGGCAGGTTAAATTTTCACTGTGTATAATTTTTGCTAAATGGGAAAATACACACAAAAAAAAAATCACTGTATTGTATTGTTAAATAACATAAAATTAATAAACAGTAGTCAATTACAAATACATACAAGGACTACAAACTAAATTACACAGAAATTGGAGTTCCAGTTATGACAACAATCAATAGATGTCATTAATTAACATTTATGAACATGTCACGGACTACTGTGTTATCAAAAGGTATGACATGCATGACTAGCCAATTTAATTATCATGAAAACAGAGATCCTAATTAAATATGCACATTCAGGTATCTGTCGATCAATACAAAAGACTGATTTTATATATACTATAATTAACTTTTAGGATGAAAATAGGCTTACATATTGATTTGGTGTATACTCAAATTTTTGCGTTTCTTTAGCTGTTGCGAACAAAGCGAAAAAAAACCAATATACAGTATGCCTTTGTCTGAGTTCTAAGCTAGATTACTGTTACTTAAGTGGAACATTTTTGTGAGTGGTTTATGTTTGCTAGTTTCACCAAAGAGAAAAAAAAACCAAGAAAATATTTCCTTTCATGAATCTTTTTAGATGATAAGAAGCATGGAGATTGAAAACATGAAAATAAAATCTCACTAACAGGCTAAGAATTAGAAATCACAAAAAGTAAACCATTGCCAAAATAAACCACTGTTCATCATTTCTTAAGTTTGCAACAAAAATTTTATTAGACAATGTTCCTAATAAACTATGCAAGAGAAGCAGCAATAAATACTATTCTACACATCATGCTGGCTATAAATATGTAAAAAAAAAATAAGAACAAGCTGATATAAACATAAGCTGCGATAAATTTTTACCATTTTCTTTTTGAATGATGATTAAATTTTCGGTTTGCTTGGAAACAGGAACTTTGGTACAACAAGTATTTGTAACATTAACAGTGAAGTTTAGAAAACTTCTATCAAACGTTACATGGTCAGTTTGGTTCCATGTGTAGTTACAAAAAATAATATTATTATTTTTATCTCGTTCACAAGCAGGATTGAACTGTTTAGTAATATCGCCAGTCTTCCTATAAGTAAAATAAAGTATACCAGTGCTCTCACATGTACCTATGTGTAAAAATACTATTTCTATTAATAGGATAGTACGGGTAATACCATTTTAAAGATCCTCTTTTGAAATGATCAACTTAATAATTACATATTTACTGATTGACCCAAATTCAGTCAAAAGTCAATAAACTGTTGTCACAGAGATATGTCTCGCCTTTTTGTAATTTTGATATTATGCAAATGTTGAAATTAAAATTGCAATAACATGTATATTATGCAAATATTCAAAGTCGATGAACCATGACTGAAGGTACATGGCTAAACAATCTCCATGGAATGAGATGTGCCAATGCTAATACAACTGTATACCAAATACCATTGACTTATTATAAGTTGTTCCCTTTAAACAAACCTAAACACAAACATTAACTTGTAAACTATGTAAAAGTTTCAAAGTCAATGAACCATGATCAGGGGTGGGGCTATATAATCTCCTTGGAAACGATACTTGCAAATGCCAATAAATTTGCATACCAAATATCAATGACTTAACATAAGCAGTTCATCTTAAACTGATCTAATCACAAACTAATACATGTAAACTAAGCAAAGTTTCAAAGTAAATAGACCATGACAGAGGGGGCGGGGCCAAATATTTTCCATGGAAATGAGATGTGCTAATGCTTATACAACTGAACACCAATTAACATTGGCCTACCACTAATGGTTCCCCTTGAACTGACCTAATCACAAACTAATACATGTAAACTTAGCAAAATTTTCAGTCTATAGACCATGACTTAGGGGGCGGAGCCAAATAATCTCCATGGAAATGAGATATGCCCATGCTTATACAACTGCATACCAAATATCATTGACCTACCATTAGTGGTTCCCCATAAATTGACCTAATCACAAACTAATACATGTTAACTATGAAAAGTTTCAAAGTCAATAGGCCTTGACTGAGGGGGCGGGGCCAAATAATCTCCATGGTAATGAGATGTGCCAATGCTAATACAACTGCATACCAATATCATTGACCTACCACTAGTGGTTCACCATGAACTAGACCTAATCACAAACTTAATACATTGTTGACGCCGCCACCGACGCCGCCGGAAACAGCATACCTATGTCTCACTTTTTGACTCCGTCAAGGCGAAACAAAAATCAATACAATTGCTCAATTAACTCACATGAACGCATGATAATTGAAACTCATTTCATTTTAAGTTTTCAAATATTATTCTTAACACATTGATTCTATAAATTCAGCAAGTTTGATTGCTCATGAATTTTCAATTATTGAAAATTTGTCTATTAAGACATAAATATATATATATATATATATATAAAGGGCCAGGTTGAAATATTTAACCCATATCAATGATAATCAGATTTGTATTTCATATGAAAAGCATCCCTTTTATACTGTTAATAAAAAGTGATATCTTCTGATTTTTAAAACTAAACAAAACTAGGAAAACTACAATTTCTATACAAAATGTTAATGAAAATGAACAAAGTTCACCATCTGGAAAAATCTGCAAAAATTTACCAGTTGTGTTTACTCAAAGTGAGGTGCACTTCAATATACATATAAAAATTATCAATATTTTCCGAAATTTTGCTTTTCTATCTCAAGTGACTCAAATGAGAATATTTTTTTCTCTTTCGAATATAGTGAAAATATGTACATGATGACGTAATATGCCAACATCATTGTTGTTGCCTAGGAAAATAGCACTATTAGGTCCAAGGACACAGTTATCGTCCTTTGGTTTTCGTTGTCTACAAATATAGTCCCTAGTGTGAACAGTGTATAACTTGTATTTTTTTTTGATACACTTTCCCAATTTATTTCTTGATATTTTATGCATGAAATATTGAGTAAGGGGATGAAATTACATGTTAAAAAAATTTGGGTGCTGAATCTTTATGTTAAGTAGTGATTTGGTCCAGTTAAAAAAGGTCAAAAATTAGAATGTCTGAAGCTGTCAAACTGAATTTTAGCCCCCCTTAACACAGAATTGTCAATATTTTGAGTTAGAGCTGGTAGAAGTTTCTATAATTTTGATATTATTTGTATCAATAGTAATACACTACACTGTAAAAATCTTTTTGAGATAGAGCAGGTGCGATTTTTTTAATTTGAATTTATTGTCTAAAAGAAATGCACTACGAAATAACTGTGTTCTCGGGCCTAAGATTAACAGATTATTTATGGTCTTTCAACTTTAAATCAGAGAATGGCCATATAGTTTTACCTCTGTTACATCCAGTAATAAAATTTCAATTAACAAGCAACCATAGATTGTTTACCATAAACAATATGGTATGTGGTTGCTTGTTCTCTGAATATATAAAAAGAATTATGGGAATATGTAATTTAAAAAAATATCATAGACCGTTAGTTATAGGGATAGATTTATGAAGAATACTGTAAATTGAGAAATTGTTTGAGTACTTTAATTACTGTTGAATAATGCATTGCATTTGTGCCAATTTTTTTAAAAATGCAGGTTTTCATTTGCACCAAAAAAAATTACTGCTTTTGCACCAATATACATTTAAATATATCAGACAGTGGCATAGCAACAGTGTAGCTAGGTAAGCATGTGCTTACAAATATTTTAATAAACCATTATTTTTTTTTCAATAAGAATTTTACTATAATCGTTCAGCTTTAGGGAGCGCCCCCAGACACCCTGCTTACAATTTATTTTCCAGTGTATCCTGAAAACAAGGCTCGCACAAGAAATGTAGCAAAGTATCCCCCCTCCCTATTGGGTAAGTGAGTGAGTTCATACTCATTTCTCATACAAAACTGAGAGTCAATTACAGGTTTAAAATTATATAGTGTTCACATGATTGAGGTGACAAAAAAGATATAATCATACAGAGACAAATAGAAAAGGAAACAAGTCTGTATTTTTATAAGATCTCACATTAAGAATAGCTAATGGACTGAAAAAGGGAGACAAATTGTATACATGTACCCAAATAAGTTGCAAAGCCAAAAGCACAACATTAGTGGACAGCAAAACCAAAATAAAAACATAGAATGACAAAACAAAATTACAACCTCAGCATTAAAATAAAATGCTCCGATGGGCGCAGCTTGATACGTCCGCAGAGGTCGAACCCTGAACATTTGGGGCAATTATGGACACAACATTCAAGCTTGATACAGCACCGAATTTGGATTGTGATTAAATATTTGACACAGCATAGGTTTCTGACACAGAATGAATGTGGTCTAAGAACTTAAAAATTTTTAATTTACCTATTCAAACAATATCATTATTATTTGCTTTTATATATAAATCAGAAATAATCAATTTAAAACGGAAAATTTTAAAGAAAAAAACAGGAAAACTAGAGGCTCTCAAGAGCCTGTGTCGCTCACCTGTATTAACTGATGCTTTGGAAATCATGTAAATTAAGGTTAAAATCATAATTAATAGTATTAGTTATTAGATATTATAATGGTATCTAAGATAATAACAAAAAACTGCAAAATTTCTGTAAAATTACTAACTTAGGGGCAGCAACCCAACAACGGGCTGTCGGATTCGTCTGAAAATTTCAGGGCAGATAAATCTAAATCTGATGAACATTTTTGCCACCTCTCAGATTTGCTCTAAATGCTTTGGTTTCAGAGATATAAACCAAAAACTGCATTTTACCCCTATGTTCTATTTTTAACCAAGTCGGCCATGATGGGTGGAAGGCGTGGTCATCAGACAATTTTTTTAAACTAGATACCCTAAAAATGATTATGGCCAAGTATGGTTAAATTTGTCTCTGTAGTTTCAGAGAAGAAGATTTTTGTAAAAGATTACAAAAATTTACAAATAAAATGCTTCGCTGGGCGCAGCTTGATACGACCGCAGAGGTCGAACCCTGAACAGTTGGGGCAAGTATGGACACAACATTCAAGCTTGATACAGCTCTGAATTTGGATTGTGATTAAATATTTGACACAGCATAGGTTTCTGACACAGAAAGAATGTGGTCTAAGAACTTCAATTTTTTTAATTTACCTATTATGGTCCAATGTCCAAAATCAAAATACATGGTTAGATTCAGCATATCAAAGAACCCCATATATTCAATTTTTGTTGAAATCAAACAAAGTTTAATTTTGGACCCCAACTTGGACAAACTTGAAAACTGGTCCCATAATCAAAAATCTAAACACATGTTTAGATTCAGCATATCAAAGTACCCCAAGAATTCAATTTTTGTTAAAATCAAACTAAGTTTAATTTTGGACCCTTTGGACCTTAATGTAGACCAATTTAAAAAACGGGACCCAAAATTAAAAATCTAAATACACGGTTAGATTTGGCATATCAAAGAACCCCAATAATTCAATTTTTGATGAAATCAAACAAAGTTTAATTTTGGACCCTTTTGACCTCAATATGAACCAATTTGATAGCGGGCCCACAAAATAAAAAACCTAAATACATGGTAAGATTCAGCATATCAAAGAACCCCATATATTCAATTTTTGTTGAAATCAAACAAAGTTAAATTTTGGACCCCAATTTGGACCAACTTGAAAACTGGGCCAAAAATCTAAAATCTAAATACATGTTTAGATTCAGCATATCAAAGAACCCCATATATTCAATTTTTGTTGAAATCAAACAAAGTTTAATTTGGACCCCAACTTGGACCAACTTGAAAACTGGTCCCATAATCAAAAATCTAAACACATGTTTAGATTCAGCATATCAAAGAACCCCAAAAATTCAATTTTTTTTAAAATCAAACTAAGTTTAATTTTGGACCCTTTGGACCTTAATGTAGACCAATTTAAAAAACGGGACCCAAAATTAAAAATCTTAATACACGGTTAGATTTGGCATATCAAAGAACCCCAATAATTCAATTTTTGATGAAATCAAACAAAGTTTAATTTTGGACCCTTTTGACCTCAATATGAACCAATTTGATAGCGGGCCCACAAATAAAAAATCTAAATACATGGTAAGATTCAGCATATCAAAGAACCCCATATATTCAATTTTTGTTGAAATCAAACAAAGTTTAATTTTGGACCCCAATTTGGACCAACTTGAAAACTGGGCCAAAAATCTAAAATCTAAATACATGTTTAGATTCAGCATATCAAAGAACTCCATATATTCAATTTTTGTTGAAATCAAACAAAGTTTAATTTTGGACCCCAACTTGGACCAACTTGAAAACTGGGCCCATAATCAAAAATCTAAACACATGTTTAGATTCAGCATATCAAAGAACCCCAAGAATTCAATTTTTGTTAAAATCAAACTAAGTTTAATTTTGGACCCTTTGGACCTTAATATAGACCAATTTAAAAACAGGACCCAAAATTAAAAATCTAAATACACGGTTAGATTTGGCATATCAAAGAACCCCAATAATTCAATTTTTGATGAAATCAAACAAAGTTTAATTTTGGACCCTTTTGACCTCAATATGAACCAATTTGATAGCGGGCCCACAAAATAAAAAACCTAAATACATGGTAAGATTCAGCATATCAAAGAACCCCATATATTCAATTTTTGTTGAAATCAAACAAAGTTAAATTTTGGACCCCAATTTGGACCAACTTGAAAACTGGGCCAAAAATCTAAAATCTAAATACATGTTTAGATTCAGCATATCAAAGAACCCCATATATTCAATTTTTGTTGAAATCAAACAAAGTTTAATTTGGACCCCAACTTGGACCAACTTGAAAACTGGTCCCATAATCAAAAATCTAAACACATGTTTAGATTCAGCATATCAAAGAACCCCAAAAATTCAATTTTTATTAAAATCAAACTAAGTTTAATTTTGGACCCTTTGGACCTTAATGTAAACCAATTTAAAAAACGGGACCCAAAATTAAAAATCTTAATACACGGTTAGATTTGGCATATCAAAGAACCCCAATAATTCAATTTTTGATGAAATCAAACAAAGTTTAATTTTGGACCCTTTTGACCTCAATATGAACCAATTTGATAGCGGGCCCACAAATAAAAAATCTAAATACATGGTAAGATTCAGCATATCAAAGAACCCCATATATTCAATTTTTGTTGAAATCAAACAAAGTTTAATTTTGGACCCCAATTTGGACCAACTTGAAAACTGGGCCAAAAATCTAAAATCTAAATACATGTTTAGATTCAGCATATCAAAGAACTCCATATATTCAATTTTTGTTGAAATCAAACAAAGTTTAATTTTGGACCCCAACTTGGACCAACTTGAAAACTGGGCCCATAATCAAAAATCTAAACACATGTTTAGATTCAGCATATCAAAGAACCCCAAGAATTCAATTTTTGTTAAAATCAAACTAAGTTTAATTTTGGACCCTTTGGACCTTAATGTAGACCAATTTAAAAACAGGACCCAAAATTAAAAATCTAAATACACGGTTAGATTTGGCATATCAAAGAACCCCAATAATTCAATTTTTGATGAAATCAAACAAAGTTTAATTTTGGACCCTTTTGACCTCAATATGAACCAATTTGATAGGGGGTCCACAAATAAAAAATCTAAATACATGGTAAGATTCAGCATATCAAAGAACCCCATATATTCAATTTTTGTTGAAATCAAACAAAGTTTAATTTTGGACCCCAATTTGGACCAACTTGAAAACTGGGCCAAAAATCTAAAATCTAAATACATGTTTAGATTCAGCATATCAAAGAACCCCATATATTCAATTTTTGTTGAAATCAAACAAAGTTTAATTTTGGACCCCAACTTGGACCAACTTGAAAACTGGGCCCATAATCAAAAATCTAAACACATGTTTAGATTCAGCATATCAAAGAACCCCAAGAATTCAATTTTTGTTAAAATCAAACTAAGTTTAATTTTGGACCCTTTGGACCTTAATGTAGACCAATTTAAAAACAGGACCCAAAATTAAAAATCTAAATACACGGTTAGATTTGGCATATCAAAGAACCCCAACAATTCAATTTTTGATGAAATCAAACAAAGTTTAATTTTGGACCCTTTTGACCTCAATGTGGACAAAGTTGATAACGGGGCCCAAAAATCAAAAATCTAAATACATGGTTAGATTCAGCATATCAAAGAACCCCATATATTCAATTTTTGTTGAAATCAAACAAAGTTTAATTTTGGACCCCGATTTGGACCAACTTGAAAACTGGGCCCATAATCAAAAATCTAAATACATGTTTAGATTCAGCATATCAAAGTACCCCAAGAATTCAATTTTTGTTAAAATCAAACTAAGTTTAATTTTGGACCCTTTTGACCTTAATGTAGACCAATTTGAAAACGGAACCAAAAATTAAGAATCTAAATACACGGTTAGATTCGGCATATCAAAGAACCCCAATAATTCAATTTTTGATGAAATCAAACAAAGTTAAATTTTGGACCCTTTGGACCTCAATGTGGACCAATTTAAAAACGGGGCCCAAAATCCAAAAACTTAATACACGGTTAGATTCAGCATATTAAAGAACCCCAAGAATTCAAGAATAAAACCCCATTGAAATTGATCAAGAAATAAGCAATTTATACGAAGTATCTTCTTTTGCACAATACTGTGCAATTGAATATTTCTTGCTATTGTGCAATACTGTACAATTGACAATTTCTTGCTATTGCGCAATATTGTGCTATTGGATATTTCTTGCTATTGCGCAATACTGTGCAATTGAAGATTTCTTGCTATTGCGCAATACTGTGCAATTGAAGATTTCTTGCAATTGTGCAATACTGTGCAATTGAAAATTTCTTGCTATTGCACAATACTTATTATATAATAATTTACACATCCTGTTTGGTGTGTATCTCCTACCATATCATTATTATTTGCTTTTAAATATTAATCAGAAATAACCAACTTAAAATGGAAAATTTTAAAAGAAAAAAAAAAGGAAAAAAAGAAAAAAAAAGAAAAAAAAAAAATCCCCCCCACCAAATTTTTTGAACCCCCTTATGATTCATCACCCCCAAACTCAATCCCAGCCTTCCCTTTGTGGTATGGTACCTTGCAGTACAATTTCAGAGAGATCCATACACTTGAACACAAGTTATTGTCTGGAAACTAGAAAAATGCTTATTTTTGGCCCCTTTTTGGCCCCCAATTCCTAAACGTTTCGGGCAATTACCCCCAAACTCAATTCCAGCTTTCCCTTTGTGATATGGAACCTTGTAGTACAATTTCAGAAATATCCAAACACTTACACACAAGTTATTGTCATGAAACTAGAAAAATGCTTGTTTTTTGCCCCTTTTTTGGCCCCTAATTCCTAAAATTTTGAGGCAATTACCCCCAAAATCAATTACAGCCTTCCCTTTGTGATATGGAACCTTGTGGTACAATGTCAGAGAGATCCATACACTTACACACAAGTTATTGTCTGGAAGTTACAAAAATGCTTATTTTTGGCCCCTTTTTGGCCCCTAATTCCTTAACTGTTGGTACCATAACCCCCAAAATCAATCCCCACCTTCCTTTCGTGGTATTGAACCTTATGGTAAAATTTCATGGAGATCCATTCACTTAAACTAAAGTTAGAGTGCGAAAACCAATGTGTCTTCGGACGACGCCGGACGACGCCAGACGACGACGACGACGACGACGACGACGACGCCAACGTCATACCAATATACGACCAAAAAATTTTCAATTTTTGCGGTCGTATAAAAATTGTTAAAAATAGACTATAAAGGGCAATAACTCCTAAAGGGGTCGACTGACAATTTTGGTCATGACGACTTATTTGTAGATCTTACTTTGCTGAATATTATTGCTGTTTACAGTTTATCTCTATCTATAATAATATTCAAGATAATAACCAAAAACTGCAAAATTTCCCTAAAATTACCAATTCAGGGGCAGCAACCCAACAACAGGTTGTCAGATTTGTCTGAAAATTTCAGGGCAGATAGATCTTGACCTGATAATCAGTTTTACCCTATATGTCAGATTTACTCCTAATGCTTTCGTTTCAGTGATATAAACTAAAAAACTGCATTTTACCCCTATGTTCTATTTTTAACCAAGCTGGCCATGATGGTTGGAAGGCGCGATCATCTGACAAATTTTTTAAACTATATACCCTAAAAATGATTATGGCCAAGTATGGTTAAATTTGTCTCTGTAGTTTCAGAGAAGAAGATTTTTGTAAAAGATTACAAAAATTTACAAAAAATTGTTAAAAATAGACTATAAAGGGCAATAACTGCTAAAGGGGTCGACTGACAATTTTGGTAATGATGACTTATTTGTAGATCTTACTTTGCTGAACATTATTGCTGTTTACAGTTTATCTCTATCTATAATAATATTCAAGATAATAACCAAAAACTGCAAAATTTCCCTAAAATTACCAATTCAGGGGCAGCAACCCAACAACAGGTTGTCAGATTTGTCTGAAAATTTCAGGGCAGATAGATCTTGACCTGATAATCAGTTTTACCCTATATGTCAGATTTACTCCTAATGCTTTCGTTTCAGTGATATAAACCAAAAACTGCATTTTACCCCTATGTTCTATTTTTAACCAAGCCAGCCATGATGGTTGGAAGGCGCGATCATCGGACAAATTTTTTAAACTAGATACCCTAAAAATGATTATGGCCAAGTATGGTTAAATTTGTCTCTGTAGTTTCAGAGAAGAAGATTTTTGTAAAAGATTACAAAAATTTACAATAAAATGCTTCGCTGGGGCGCAGCTTGATACGACCGCAGAGGTCGAACCCTGAACAGTTGGGGCAAGTATGGACACAAAATTCAAGCTTGATACAGCTATGACTTTGGATTGTCATTAAATATTTGACACAGCATAGGTTTCTGACACAGGATGAATGTGGTGTAAGAACTGGAAAAAATTTAATTTACCTATTATGGTGGAATATCCATAAACTAAATTGTTTGTTAATTTCAATATATCAAAGAATATGTAGAATTCAATGTTTGATGTAATGTAATAAAGTTGAAATTTGGACCGTTTTTGTTCAATGTGGACCAATTTGGTAACATGTATAAATAATCAAAAATCTAAATACATGGGAGCCCATTTAAATACATCATAAAGGTATTAAAATAGAAAGTGACATCATAGTCATGGCTAAAAATAAACAAAAATCCTTAATCAGCAACATTTAAAGTAATATCTAAAAATAAAATTCCTTTGTAACCATAAAAGCCCATTTAAATACATCATAAAGATATTAAAATAGAAAATGACATCATAGTCATGGCTAAACATAGCTAAAAACCCTTAATCAGCATCATTTAACAGTAATATCTAAAAATGGAAATTACATCATAAAGGTATTAAAATAGAAAATGACATCATAGTCATGGCTAAAAATAAACAAAATCCTTAATCAGCATCAGCAACATTTTATAGTAATATCTAAAAATAAAATTCCTTTGTAACCATAAAAGCCCATTTAAATACATCATAACAGATATTAAAATAGAAAATGACATCATAGTCATGGCTAAACATAGCAAAAACCTTAATCAGCATCATTTAACAGTAATATCTAAAAATAAAAATTTCTTTGCAACCATAAAAGTAAAATAGAAAATGACATCATAATCATAGCTAAAAATAAACAAACATTTTTTTTATTGGCAAATTTTAAATGGAGTTTATTATACTAAAACAATAAATTTGCAACCATAAACATGATAAAACCCCATTTAAACACATCATAAAAGTATTAAAAAATTCAACTACATCATAAGGCTATAAAAATAGAAAATGACTTCATAGTCAAGGCTAAAGGTAAACAAAAAACCTTCATCAGCAAAATTTTATATTGGCAAATTTCCAATGAAGTTTATTACACTAAAATTGTTGGCAAATTTCCAATGCATTTATTAACAATAAAGTTATTGGCAAATTTCCAATTTACATAATTTAAAAGCAGTGTAGATGAGATATTTAAATGAGTTTGAATTACCAACCTTACACTGCTTTTAAATAATGTTCTTTACTCAATTATTTGTCTATTAAAATGGAAACCCTTGTTTTTTAACCTTTTTCCCCCTTTTTCCTTAACCATTAGAGCCATAACCACCCCCCCTCCCCCCCCCCCCCAAAGCCAATTATTACTTTCCAATGTAACTTAAATTTCCAATATACATAATTTTAAATTTCAATTCCTCATGATATATAACCGTATCATTATTATTTTCTTTCATATATAAATCTGAAACAACCATCTTTAAATGGAAAATTTTAAAGAAAAAAAAAGGAAAAAAAAAATCCTACCTCCCACACATTTTTTCAACCCCCTTTTGATTCATCATCCCCCACCTCAATCACAACCTTCAATTTGTGGTATGGTACATTGCAATACAATTTCACAGAGATCCATACACTTGAACACAAGTTTTTGTTGCAAACTAAAAAAATCCTTATTTTTGACCAATATTTGGCCCCTTATTCATAAATGTTTGAGCAATTAACCCCAAAACTCAATTCCTACTTTCTCTTCGTGATAAAAAATAACTAACTTAAAATGTAAATTTTAAACAAAAAAAAAAGGGAAAAAAAAAATTACCCCTTTTTTGACCCCCGCCCCCCTTATGATTCATCACCCCCACCCCCCTTTCCCCCCAAACCAAGCTCAATAACAGCCTTGCCTTTGTGGTATGGTACCTTGTAATACAATTTTAGAGAGATCCATACACTTGAACACAAGTTATTGTCTAGAAACTAAAAAATGCTTATTTTAAACCCCTTTTTAGGCCCCTTATTACTAAATGTTTTGGGCAATTACCACAACACTCAATTCCAGCTTTCCCTTTGTGAAATGGAACCTTGTAGTAAAATTTCAGAAAGATCCATACACTTACACACAAGTTATTGTCATGAAACTAGAAAAATGCTTGTTTTTTGCCCCCTTTTGGCCCCTTATTCCTAAAATTTTGAGGCAATTAACCCCAAAATCAATCCCAGCATTGACCCTTTGTGATATGGAATCTTGTGGTACAATGTCAAAGAGATCCATATGCTAACACACAAGTTATGTCTGGAAGTTACAAACATGCTTATTTTCGGCCCCTTTTTGGCCCCTAATTCCTTAACTGTTGGTACCATAACCCCCAAAATCAATCCCCACCTTCCTATTGTGGTATTGAACCTTATGGTGAAATTTCATAGAGATCCATTCACTTAAACTAAAGTTAGAGTGCGAAAACCATTGTGTATTCGGACGACGACGCCGGACGACGACGACGACGACGACGACGACGACGACGACGACGCCAACGTCATACCAATATACGACCTCAAAATTTTTTTGCGGTCGTATAAAAAATTGTTAAAAATAGACTATAAAGGGCAATAACTGCTAAAGGGGTCGACTGACAATTTTGGTCATGACGACTTATTTGTAGATCTTACTTTGCTGAACATTATTGCTGTTTACAGTTTATCTCTATCTATAATAATATTCAAGATAATAACTAAAAACTGCAAAATTTCCCTAAAATTACCAATTCAGGGGCAGCAACCCAACAACAGGTTGTCAGATTTGTCTGAAAATTTCAGAGCAGATAGATCTTGACCTGATAATCAGTTTTACCCTTTGTCAGATTTACTCTAAATGCTTTAGTTTCAGAGATATAAGCCAAAATCTACATTTTACCCCTATGTTCTATTTTTAGCCATGGTGGCCATCTTGGTTGGTTGGCGGGGTCATTGGACACATTTTTAAAATTAGATACCCTAATGATGATTGTGGCCAAGTTTGGTTAAATTTGGCCCAGTGGTTTCAGAGGAGAAGATTTTTGTAAAAAGCTAACGACGACAGACGGACGCCAAGTGATGAGAAAAAGGAAAAAAAAATCACTCCCCCAAATTTTTTGAACCCCCTTATGATTCATCACCCCCAAACTGAATCCCAACCTTTCCTTTGTGGTATGGTACCTTGCAGTACAATTTCAGAGAGATCCATACACTTGAACACAAGTTTTTGTCTGGAAACTAGAAAAATGCTTGTTTTTAGGCCCCTTTTTGGCCCCAAATTCCAAAACGTTTAAGGCAATTACCCCCAAACTCAAACCCAGCTTTCCCTTTGTGATCATAGTTGCCAACTGACATGATATTCGCGTGTAATACAAGCTTTTTCAATGGTTTACACACGAGGATTTTATCACATGGCGTGTACACGCTTTTCACCACTTTACACACAATTACACGCTTTTTCGTTGTTTTGATTTTTTTGGTTGTTAGTGATATCGCGATTCTCTGGTTTTTTCATTATAACACGATAAATACCGAAATTTCGAAGTAATTGTTTGGTGGCCATTGTTTATTTTTCTAATGGACGAACAGCAAAGGCTCTTAAGGTAAGTAGTTTGTGATTAGTTTTTACGATTTTGGGACTTTCTTTCTTTCAAATTCACTTAGGTGAAATGTCCATAGAAAGAGATAGCTTTCAGGACCTGTACCGTCGTCTAAAGAGCCAATTTCTAAGCAAAAACGATGTCTACGTACCAAGATTCAAGATTTATAAATTATATTTGGGAGTTCGAGTTTAAATCATCGAGGGATGAGTAACACATTGTGCACTCTATGTTGCAATCATAACAATACATATGAGAGGAGAACTAAAATACATAGCTATTTGATTAAGCATTTAACAATTATAAAATATTTTTCTTTTTCAGTTTCAAATGTAGCCAACAGATTTCCACAGGCCATTGGGGATGGAAATATCACGGAACTGTTGGATCAGTTCTCAAAGTATTAGCTGTCTTCTGATGAACTACCCAGTTTTGACCAGGCAATAGCAACATATATTGTATAGTTTGTTGGGAGCAATGGCAGAGATCATAGATATTTTAGATGGCAAAAAAACATTATGACACTCTTTCAAAGCTTCATGAAGCTATTTTAGTTCAGCCAAATATCAATTCTGACTGTGAGAGATCATTTTCAATTATAAAGAAATTTACACTGAATTCTGATCAGAACTCGACAATGATATATTGTGTGCCTTGTTATCAAGTAAATGTAACAAAACCAGCAGGTGTTTTGAATATGTGCCTAGTGGTGTTGCTTTAAAAGCAGCAAAACAGACCACTGTTGAATACAATAAAAGTTTACAGTTGAATATTGTTTTTTATATTAACAAATTTGCATATAATGTGAAATTATGAACATTGTTCATATTAAAAAGTCTGCATCTACGTCACTCGTTTTTCACACACTTTTTGACATGTCTTGTCATGTCGTGACATGATTTCTCATTGTCAGAGATTGGCAAGTATGTTTGTGATATGGAACCTTGTAGTACAATTTCATAAAGATCCATATTCTTACACACAAGTTATTGTTATGAAACTAGAAAAATGCTTGTTTTTTTCCCCTTTTTGGCCCCTAATTCCTAATATATTGTGGCAATTACCCCCAAAATCAATCCCAGCCTACCCTTTGTGGTATGGTACCTTACAGTACAATTTCAGAGAGATCCATACACTTGAACACAAGTTATTGTCTGGAAATTAGAAAAATGCTTATTTTTGGTCCCTTTTTGGCCCCTTATTCCTAAACGTTTTGGGCAATTACCCCCAAACTCAATTCCAGCTTTCCCTTTGTGATATGGAACCTTGTAGTACAATTTCAGAAAGATCCATACACTTACACACAAGTTATTATCATGAAACTAGAAAAATGCTTGTTTTTTGCCCCTTTTTTGGCCCCTAATTCCTAAAATTTCGATCAATTACCCCCAAAATCAATCCCAGCATTTCCTTTGTGATATGGAACTATGTGGTACCATGTCAGAGAGATCCATACACTAACACACAAGTTATGTCTGGAAGTTACAATAAAATGCTCCGCAGGGCGCAGCTTGATACGACCGCAGAGGTCGAACCCTGAACAGTTGGGGGAAGTATGGACACAACATTCAAGCTTGATACAGCTTTGGATTTGGATTGTGATTAAATATTTGACACAGCATAGGTTTCTAACACAGATTGAATGTGGTCTAAGAACTTAAAAATTTTAAATTGGACATTCACCTATTATGGTCCAATATCCAAAATCTAAATACATGGTTAGATTCAGCATATCAAAGAACCCCAAGAATTCAATTTTTGATGAAATCAAACAAAGTTTAATTTTGGACCCTTTTGACCTCAATGTGGACAAAGTTGATAACGGGGCCCAAAAATCAAAAATCTAAATACATGGTTAGATTCAGCATATCAAAGAACCCCATATATTCAATTTTTGTTGAAATCAAACAAAGTTTAATTTTGGACCCCGATTTGGACCAACTTGAAAACTGGGCCCATAATCAAAAATCTAAATACATGTTTAGATTCAGCATATCAAATAACCCTAAAAATTCAATTTTTGTTAAAATCAAACTAAGTTTAATTTTGGACCCTTTGGACCTTAATGTAGACCAATTTGAAAACGGAACCAAAAATTAAGAATCTAAATACACGGTTAGATTCGGCATATCAAAGAACCCCAATAATTCAATTTTTGATGAAATCAAACAAAGTTTAATTTTGGACCCTTTTGACCTCAATGTGGACAAAGTTGATAACGGGGCCCAAAAATCAAAAATCTAAATACATGGTTAGATTCAGCATATCAAAGAACCCCATATATTCAATTTTTGTTGAAATCAAACAAAGTTTAATTTTGGACCCCGATTTGGACCAACTTGAAAACTGGGCCCATAATAAAAAATCTAAATACATGTTTAGATTCAGCATATCAAAGAACCCTAAGAATTCAATTTTTGTTAAAATCAAACTAAGTTTAATTTTGGACCCTTTGGACCTTAATGTAGACCAATTTGAAAACGGAACCAAAATTTAAGAATCTAAATACACAGTTAGATTCGGCATATCAAAGAACCCCAATAATTCAATTTTTGATGAAATCAAACAAAGTTTAATTTTGGACCCTTTGGACCTCAATGTGGACCAATTTAAAAACGGGGCCTAAAATTCAAAAACTAAATACATGGTTAGATTCAGCATATTAAAGAACCCCATGAAATCAAGAATAAAACCCCATTGAAATTGGTCAAGAAATAAGCAATTTATAGGAAGTATCTTCTTTTGCACAATCCTGTGCTATTAAATATTTCTTGCTATTGCGCAATACTGTACAATTGACAATTTCTTGCTATTGCGCAATATTGTGCTATTGGATATTTCTTGCTATTGCGCAATACTGTGCAATTGAAGATTTCTTGCTATTGCGCAATACTGTGCAATTGAAGATTTCTTGCTATTGTGCAATACTGTGCAATTGAAAATTTCTTGCTATTGCACAATACTTATTATATAATAATTTACACATCCTGTTTGGTGTGTATCTCCTACCATATCATTATTATTTGATTTTAAATATAAATCAGAAATAACCAACTTAAAATGGAAAATTTTAAAAGAAACAAAAAAGGAAAAAAAGAAAAAAAGGAAAAAAAATAAATCCCCCCCCAAAATTTTTTGAACCCCCATTATGATTCATCACCCCCAAACTCAATCCCAGCCTTCCCTTTGTGGTATGGTACCTTGCAGTACAATTTCAGAGAGATCCATACACTTGAACACAAGTTATTGTCTGGAAACTAGAAAAAAATGTGTTTTTTGGCCCCTTTTTGGCCCCAAATTCCTAAACGTTTAGGGCAATTACCCCCAAACTCAAACCCAGCTTTCCCTTTGTGATATGGAACCTTGTAGTACAATTTCAGAAAGATCCATACACTTACACATAAGTTATTGTCATGAAACTAGAAAAATGCTTGTTTTTTGCCCCTTTTTTGGCCCCTAATTCCTAAAATTTGGAGGCAATTACCCCCAAAATCAATCCCAGCATTCCTTTAGTGATATGGAACCTTGTGGTACAATGTCAGAGAGATCCATACACTAACACACAAGTTATGTCTGGAAGTTACAAAAATGCTTATTTTTGGCCCCTAATTCCTTTACTGTTATTACCATAACCCCCAAAATCAATCCCAACCTTCCTTTTGTGGTATTGAACCTTGTGGTAAAATTTCATAAAGATCCATTCACTTAAACTAAAGTTAAGAGTGCGAAAACCAAGTGTCTTCGGACGACGCCGGACGACGACGACGACGCCGGACGACGACGACGCCAACGTCATACCAATATACGACCACAAAAATTTTTTTGCGGTCGTATAAAAATGCTTATTTTTGGCCCCTTTTTGGCCCCTAATTCCTAAACTGTTGGTACCATAACCCCCAAAATCAATTCCAACCTTCCTTTTGTGGTATTGAACCTTATGGTAAAATTTCATAGGGATCCATTCACTTAAACTAAAGTTAGAGTGCGAAAACCAATGTGTCTTCGGACAACAACGTCATACCAATATACGATTTGCGGACGTATAAAAAGGCTTGTTTTTTGCCCCTTTTTGGCCCCTAATTCCTAATATTTTTATGGCAATTACCCCCAAAATCAATCCCAGCCTTCCCTTTGTGGTATGGTACCTTGCAGTACAATTTCAGAGAGATCCATACACTTGAACACAAGTTATTGTCTGGAAACTAGAAAAATGCTTATTTTTAGCCCCTTTTTGGCCCCTTATTCCTACATGTTTTGGGCAATTACCCCTAAACTCTATTCCAGCTTTCCCTTTGTGATATGGAACCTTGTAGTACAATTTCATAAAGATCCATATACTTACACACAGTTATTATCATGAAACTAGAAAAATGCTTGTTTTTTGCCCTTTTTTTGGCCCCTAGTTCCTAAAATTTTGAGGCAATTACCCCCAAAATCAATCCCAGCATTCCATTTGTGATATGGAACCTTGTGGTACAATGTCAGAGAGATCCATACACTAACACACAAGTTATGTCTGGAAGTTACAAAAATGCTTATTTTTGGCCCCTAATTCCTTAACTGTTTGTACCATAACCCCCAAAATCAATTCCAACCCTCCTTTTGTGGTATTGAACCTTATGGTAAAATTTCATAGAGATCCATTCACTTAAACTTAAGTTATTGTGCAAAAACCAATGTGTCTTCTGAGGATTATTATTGTTTTGGGCAATTACCCCTAAACTCAATTCCAGCTTTCCCTTCGTGATATGGAACCTTGTAGTACAATTTCATAAAGATCCATATACTTACACACAAGTTATTATCATGAAACTAGAAAAATGCTTGTTTTTTGCCCTTTTTTTTGGCCCCTAGTTCCTAAAATTTTGAGGCAATTACCCCCAAAATCAATCCCAGCATTCCATTTGTGATATGGAACCTTGTGGTACAATGTCAGAGAGATCCATACACTAACACACAAGTTATGTCTGGAAGTTACAAAAATGCTTATTTTTGGCCCCTAATTCCTTAACTGTTTGTACCATAACCCCCAAAATCAATTCCAACCTTCCTTTTGTGGTATTGAACCTTATGGTAAAATTAACACACAAGTTATGTCTGGAAGTTACAAAAATGCTTATTTTTGGCCCCTAATTCCTTAACTGTTTGTACCATAACCCCCAAAATCAATTCCAACCTTCCTTTTGTGGTATTGAACCTTATGGTAAAATTTCATAGAGATCCATTCACTTAAACTTAAGTTATTGTGCAAAAACCAATGTGTCTTCGGAGGATTATTATTGTTTTGGGCAATTACCCCTAAACTCAATTCCAGCTTTCCCTTCGTGATATGGAACATTGTAGTACAATTTCATAAAGATCCATATACTTACACACAAGTTATTATCATGAAACTAGAAAAATGCTTGTTTTTTGCCCTTTTTTTGGCCCCTAGTTCCTAAAATTTTGAGGCAATTACCCCCAAAATCAATCCCAGCATTCCATTTGTGATATGGAACCTTGTGGTACAATGTCAGAGAGATCCATACACTAACACACAAGTTATGTCTGGAAGTTACAAAAATGCTTATTTTTGGCCCCTAATTCCTTAACTGTTTGTACCATAACCCTGAAAATCAATTCCAACCTTCCTTTTGTGGTATTGAACCTTATGGTAAAATTTCATAGAGATCCATTCACTTAAACTTAAGTTATTGTGCAAAAACCAATGTGTCTTCGGACGACGATGCCAACTTCATACCAATATCGTATTAAACAGATCAGTGTTAAATGTTTTCATTTTGGTTTGATGATGAATGTGATTTATAATGAATCTGTTATTTTATGCTATCAAAACTATGTTGTAACATTGATAATTAAAAGTTTCTTTTCAATATAGATCCTATATTTATACTATTCATTTGCGCACATGAAATGCATTATTTCGGGGAAAATGAAATATGGTTTGTGGCACAAATGAAAGATTTTTTTGAAGCAAATGAAATGCCAATTGGCGCAAAAGCAAAGCACCATAACAATGGACATATAAGAGAGATTAATTACAATGAAAAAAGGAAATGCTGAAAACTAATAATGCTATCAAAATTTAAAATGTGAGATTTGATTTTTGCAAAACCACTAAACAATACTAACATCACTGAAATATATTTAAGTGATGTTAGTTTTGTTTAGTGGTTTTGCAAAAATTAACAGTATATGAGATTTATCTGACTCTTTTTTTTCCCCCAAAAAAATCATAGAAGTGCAACTACTTTAACATGTTTAAAACATATATTCCAGTTCTGTATAGATTATATATCGTAGTGCTTGAGTATATACTTATTTCTCAATGAACTCATTCTGATGTTTTCATTTCCACATCAACTAAATATACAATTGTAAACACTACCTAATACAAAATTTGTTTTTGAATAAATCCAAAATGTGTGCATTTCTATGATAAAAGAATATCCTTGATATACTTACATGAGCAAGGAAACTTTAATAGTTAGCGTGTTGTTATATCTTACTCCAAGATCCCAGGTACATATCATTCCTTCGTCCCAGTTATATATGGTACAACTAAAATTCTCAATAGGAGCTGGGGGGTCTAAAAAACAGTAGGAGTAAAATCAATTAACATTAGATCTCTTAATTTCTTGTTTATTGACATGTTATGAATAACTTGTTGGTGGATAAGAGCAAATTAAAATGCTATTTTTTTTTAATGGAATCAGTGATTTTGGGCCTGCATCATAGCATGACTCCTCCTGAAAACCTTTTAACAGATAAAAGTTTCCAGTGTCCAATTGATTTAGAATTTTTATTTTCATCTTAATCACAAGTATATGCATAGATTTTGCTCATTAGTCTTAAAATTTTATCTTAATAGGCAAAAAGCTGCTACATTGTCAGGCATATGATGGGGAGCAGTTTAAGTATTTATACATCCCTGGCTTTTAATTTTTTGGGATTGAGTGTTCCTGAGAAAGACAAATCAAGAATAGGGCTTCTGATAAACCAAATGTTTGAAGTGTTATTATCATTTTCTAGATGAGAATGATTATAATGACAAATGAAGACATAAACAAAACTTAGAGTATCTTAACCTTGAAATTAAATGGTGATAATATTCTTGATGTGTAATTGTGACAGGAATATCTCAATTCATGGTTAGATATGTAGGTTAACCCTCCTACTTTTAAACTGGAATGAAATCAAAATCATTTAGTAAAATATATTTCATGTAAGCGTGAACTATATGAGCAATGCATGTATAGACTCTATAGACTCACAAAAAAGGTGGGGAAATTGTTGTATATATCTGAAAAGTTCGTAAAGCTATGGAGAAACTCCAAATCCTGGTTCAGATCACTCTAAATATGAACAAACATTCTGAGGGTATATATTTATTGCCTATGCAGTTCATTGTCCCCTACCAGCTTTAATTTTTACATTGGATGTGTTTACACTTTTAAGCAAGTTGTAACTGATTTACAAGAAAGGATGAGAATAATATAGAGAACTGTGAAAAAATAGCTTTCTTGAAGTGATATAATTGGCTATTTCAGTATCTGATTGATGTGAAACTAAATCGAATCGCTTTTTATTATTTTTATATTAATATTATATACTTAAATAAAAACGGAAAAGTTTCCCAAGTTACTGGTATCATTCAATTTACTTTATAAACAATATATTGAACATTTTACTTACCATCAACTGTAACCCCTGTAGTGGCTACTATTTTATGGTTGTCACCTCTACCGTACATACAGAGAAAATTGAAAAGGCCAATACGTTCCATAGAATTCATATGTTTTGTCAGTCTCAATGAAGAACTATCAATTACTATCATTTCATTTTTTGATACTTCAGTTCCATTCCCATAAATAACATATACATCTGATGAGTTAACGTTGATGCCTTTGTCCTTTAAAGTGCAAGTCATATTCAAAACTTCGTCTTTAAAAATATAAACATTACAAATATCCCAATCTGAAAAAAAATGTGAGAAATTAGCCATACTGTACAGTACATTGTTTTGTACATGTAAGTTCTGCTGACTATTTGAAAATTGATTCTTGCCAGTTAGTAGGGTAAGTACAGTCTGAAGCAATACCCCTCTTCCTGCTGTGTCCAATAACATTATGTTCAATTCTATAAGGAGTGGTCCAGCAGATTTGAAGTTCTCAAATGGAAACTCAAATTAAATTTGATTTTTTGTGTAAAAGATTTTTCGCATACATAATTAAATACTGTATTTTACTAGAGGAGGTGAAAATAGGATGCAATATCTGATGAACAAATGATGAATGACTCTGACTGATAGATGATGATTTTTGGTGTTAAACACCACTTTCAACATAATAGCTATTTCATGGTGGCCAATATTTATTGGTGGAGGAAGCTGGAGTGCCAAGAGAGAACCACTAACCTTTGGCAGGAAAACTGACAATCTTAGTCAATTAAGAATGGAGTTAAATGCAATGGCCACATATCGAACTCACGACCTAAGTGTTCACAGGTTAGTGATACAGTAGTTTAACTACTAAGACCACTCAGTAACTGATAGAAAGATGACATATGGTTAACTCAAAATGGTGAAATAGCTCTTCTCTTAAATAAACTTTGGAAAGCTACAGAAGAGCAGCAGTTATTGTAATTTTTATTTTTAAAGACTAAGTGACTGAATGCATAATGATTAAAAGATATATTACCACCGTCACAAATACATATTTTCTTCATACACAAATTTGGTGGACACTTTATATCACATGTTTCATACTTGATCTGGTTAGTCATGTTAAACATCAACAGCACCAATATTAGGGATTTCATCCTAATGCCTCTTGATTGTTCTACAAAAAATAAGAAGTAATGCTAATTATTATAACTAAATAAAAATTCCATCTTTATCCAGAGACTATATTAATAGAATACTTCAGTGTATCTAGTAATAATGCAAAAAAAACCCAAGTCAATGATAATGATATTTAATATATATATATCTATGGGTACCAGGCATATCAAATTATCTGATTACCTCCAAAGATATTTAATGATTATTTGGAAATTCAATTGGTACATAACCACCATTTTTAAAACATTGGCCAAATCAGTACACTTTAAATTACAAATAATGTGCAGCAGAAAGGAAAGCTTTTATTTTTTGCATAAACCGTTAAAGCTTGTTCATCTTGAGGTTACTAAGTTATAAATGGTGATTGGCATTTAGTTATTAAATTTTCTAGATAGTCCAAAAGAGAGGTACACAGCTCCCCTCTTCCCTTTCTGTGCTTTGTTCTTCCCTTTTTGTCATAACCTTTGCATTTTTATGTTTTCTAAAGTAAAATAAATACTTTTCAATGCAAAAAAATTTAGTTATAACAACGGGAATAAAATACTCCGCAGGGCGCAGCTTGATATAACCGCAGAGGTCGAACCATGAACAGTTGGGGCAAGTATGGACACAACATTCAAGCTTGATACAGCTCTGAATTTGGATTGTGATTAAATATTTGACACAGCATAGGTTTCTGACACAGAATGAATGTGGTCTAAGAACTTAAAAATTTTAAATTGGACATTCACCTATTATTGTCCAATATCCAAAATCTAAATACATGGTTAGATTAAGCTTATCAAAGAACCCCAAGAATTCAATTTTTGATGAAATCAAAGTTTAATTTTGGACCCTTTTGACCTCAATGTGGACAAAGTTGATAACGGGGCCCAAAAATCAAAAATCTAAATACATGGTTAGATTCAGCATATCAAAGAACCCCATATATTCAATTTTTGTTGAAATCAAACAAAGTTTAATTTTGGACCCTGATTTGGACCAACTTGAAAACTGGGCCCATAATCAAAAATCTAAATACATGTTTAGATTCAGCATATCAAAGAACCCTAAGAATTCAATTTTTGTTAAAATCAAACTTAGTTTAATTTTGGACCCTTTGGACCTTAATGTAGATCAATTTGAAAACGGAACCAAAAAATAAGAATCTAAATACACGGTTAGATTCGGCATATCAAAGAACCCCAATAATTCAATTTTTGATGAAATCAAACAAAGTTTAATTTTGGACCCTTTGGACATCAATGTGGACCAATTTAAAAACGGGGCCCAAAATCCAAAAACTTAATACACGGTTAGATTCAGCATATTAAAGAAGAACAAGAATTCAAGAATAAAACCCCATTGAAATTGGTCAAGAAATAAGCAATTTATACGAAGTATCTTCTTTTGCACAATACTGTGCAATTGAATATTTCTTGCTATTGTGCAATACTGCACAATTGACAATTTCTTGCTATTGCGCAATATTGTGCTATTGGATATTTCTTGCTATTGTGCAATACTGTGCAATTAAAGATTTCTTGCTATTGCGCAATACTGTGCAATTGAAGATTTCTTGCTATTGCACAATACTTATTATATATTAATTTACACATCCTGTTTGGTGTGTATCTCCTACCATATCATTATTATTTGCTTTTAAATATAAATCAGAAATAACCAACTTAAAATGGAAAATTTTAAAAGAAAAAAAAAAGGAAAAAAAAGAAAATAAAATGCTTCGCTGGGGCGCAGCTTGATACGACCGCAGAGGTCGAACCCTGAACAGTTGGGGCAAGTATGGACACAAAATTCAAGCTTGATACAGCTATGACTTTGGATTGTCATTAAATATTTGACACAGCATAGGTTTCTGACACAGGATGAATGTGGTGTAAGAACTGGAAAAAATTTAATTTACCTATTATGGTGGAATACCATAAACTAAATTGTTTGTTAATTTCAATATATCAAAGAATATGTAGAATTCAATGTTTGATGTAATGTAATAAAGTTGAAATTTGGACCGTTTTTGTTCAATGTGGACCAATTTGGTAACATGTATAAATAATCAAAAATCTAAATACATGGGAGCCCATTTAAATACATCATAAAGGTATTAAAATAGAAAGTGACATCATAGTCATGGCTAAAAATAAACAAAATTCCTTAATCAGCAACATTTAAAGTAATATCTAAAAATAAAATTCCTTTGTAACCATAAAAGCCCATTTAAATACATCATAAAGATATTAAAATAGAAAATGACATCATAGTCATGGCTAAACATAGCAAAAAACCCTTAATCAGCATCATTTAACAGTAATATCTAAAAATGGAAATTACATCATAAAGGTATTAAAATAGAAAATGACATCATAGTCATGGCTAAAAATAAACAAAATCCTTAATCAGCATCAGCAACATTTTATAGTAATATCTAAAAATAAAATTCCTTTGTACCATAAAAGCCCATTTAAATACATCATAACAGATATTAAAATAGAAAATGACATCATAGTCATGGCTAAACATAGCAAAAACCTTAATCAGCATTATTTAACAGTAATATCTAAAAATAAAAATTTCTTTGCAACCATAAAAGTAAAATAGAAAATGACATCATAATCATAGCTAAAAATAAACAAAAATTTTTTTTATTGGCAAATTTTAAATGGAGTTTATTATACTAAAATAATAAATTTGCAACCGTAACATGATAAAACCCCATTTAAACACATCATAAAAGTATTAAATAATTCAACTACATCATAAGGCTATAAAAATAGAAAATGACTTCATAGTCAAGGCTAAAGGTAAACAAAAAACCTTCATCAGCAAAATTTTATATTGGCAAATTTCCAATGAAGTTTATTACACTAAAATTGTTGGCAAATTTCCAAGGCATTTATTAACAATAAAGTTATTGGCAAATTTCCAATTTACATAATTTAAAAGCAGTGTAGATGAGATATTTAAATGAGTTTGAATTACCAACCTTACACTGCTTTTAAATAATGTTCTTTACTCAATTATTTGTCTATTAAAATGGAAACCCTTGTTTTTTTAACTTTTTCCCCTTATTCCTTTAACATTAGAGCCATAACCACCCCCCCCCCCCCCCCCCCAAAGCCAATTATTACTTTCCAATGTAACCTAAATTTCCAATATACATAATTTTAAATTTCAATTCCTCATGATATATAACCGTATCATTATTATTTTCTTTCATATATAAATCTGAAACAACCATCTTTAAATGGAAAATTTTAAAGAAAAAAAAAAGGAAAAAAAAAATCCTACCCCCCACACATTTTTTCAACCCCCTTTTGATTCATCATCCCCCACCTCAATCACAACCTTCAATTTGTGGTATGGTACATTGCAATACAATTTCACAGAGATCCATACACTTGAACACAAGTTTTTGTTGCAAACTAAAAAAATCCTTATTTTCGACCAATATTTGGCCCCTTATTCATAAATGTTTGAGCAATTAACCCCAAAACTCAATTCCTACTTTCTCTTCGTGATAAAAAATAACTAACTTAAAATGTAAATTTTAAACAAACAAAAAAAGGAAAAAAAAAAATTACCCCTTTTTTGACCCCCGCCCCCCTTATGATTCATCACCCCCACCCCCCTTTCCCCCCAAACCAAGCTCAATAACAGCCTTGCCTTTGTGGTATGGTACCTTGTAATACAATTTTAGAGAGATCCATACACTTGAACACAAGTTATTGTCTAGAAACTAAAAAATGCTTATTTTAAACCCCTTTTTAGGCCCCTTATTACTAAACGTTTTGGGCAATTACCACAACACTCAATTCCAGCTTTCCCTTTGTGAAATGGAACCTTGTAGTAAAATTTCAGAAAGATCCATACACTTACACACAAGTTATTGTCATGAAACTAGAAAAATGCTTGTTTTTTGCCCCCTTTTGGCCCCTTATTCCTAAAATTTTGAGGCAATTAACCCCAAAATCAATCCCAGCATTGACCCTTTGTGATATGGAATCTTGTGGTACAATGTCAAAGAGATCCATATGCTAACACACAAGTTATGTCTGGAAGTTACAAAAATGCTTATTTTCGGCCCCTTTTTGGCCCCTAATTCCTTAACTGTTGGTACCATAACCCCCAAAATCAATCCCCACCTTCCTATTGTGGTATTGAACCTTATGGTAAAATTTCATAGAGATCCATTCACTTAAACTAAAGTAAGAGTGCGAAAACCATTGTGTATTCGGACGACGACGCCGGACGACGACGACGACGAAGCCAACGTCATACCAATATACGACCTCAAAATTTTTTTGCGGTCGTATAAAAAAGGAAAGAACCCCCCCCCCCCCCCCAAATTTTTTGAACCACCTTATGATTCATCACCCCCAAACTCAATCCCAGCCTTCCCTTTGTGGTATGGTACCTTGCAGTACAATTTCAGAGAGATCCATACACTTGAACACAAGTTATTGTCTGGAAACTAGAAAAATGTGTTTTTTGGCCCCTTTTTGGCCCCCAATTCCTAAACGTTTCGGGCAATAACCCCCAAACTCAATTCCAGCTTTCCCTTCGTGATATGGAACCTTGTAGTACAATTTCAGAAATATCCAAACACTTACACACAAGTTATTGTCATGAAACTAGAAAAATGCTTGTTTTTTCCCCCTTTTTTGGCCCCTAGTTCCTAAAATTTTGAGGCAATTACCCCCAAAATCAATCCCAGCATTCCATTTGTGATATGGAACCTTGTGGTACAATGTCAGAGAGATCCATACACTAACACACAAGTTATGTCTGGAAGTTACAAAAATGCTTATTTTTGGCCCCTAATTCCTTAACTGTTGGTACCATAACCCCCAAAATCAATCCCAACCTTCCTTTTGTGGTATTGAACCTTATGGTAAAATTTCATAGAGATCCATTCACTTAAACTAAAGTTAGAGTGCGAATACCAATGTGTCTTCGGACGACGACGACAACGACGACAACGCCAACGTCATACCAATATACGACCGCAAAATTTTTGCGGTCGTATAAAAAGCTTTTTTTAACCCCAAAATACAATAAATCCAGCAAATATAATTGACTTAAATTATTTATTTATTTTTTAGCCTATAAACATGATGAAGTTGTCTCTTTTCAGACAAGAAACCATACTTAAGTGCTCTTCATATCCTAGCTAGAACACTGAATACTATATTAATTCAGATATGCATTTAAGAGAAATTCGTTCTTTTTATTCAAAGCAAGTTGAACTCATTGTGATTGAACTCATTGTACTTTTATATTTCAGATACTTTTTTCTTTCTTTTTGACAAGTCTATAATTGATCTTTTTGTAAACAAATGAGAGATCAGGCAAGCTGAATTTGGCAGCTATAAGCTACATTTTGTAACTGAAAGATTCTGAGAAAAAAAACCTACAAGGGGCCTTACTCCTGAATAGCAAAAGTGAAAATTGTCAATTTGAAATTAAACTCTATCATGTCTATCTTGTCATTTTAAACAACATATTAAAATGCGAAAAGCATTGGGTGAATGGTTCTAAAGTTATTAATTAATTGCAAAGAAACAGCTGGAGACGCCTGCTGTACAACCCTAGGTCATACCCTGATTCTTGTCTAAAAACACTGTTAAAAGTCATTTGTAGGTTAATAAAACTTCATCAAGTATGATACAATATACAGCCCATGACTATTGAATTATTGAAAATTTGCTTAAGGAACAACCATCTAATGCTGAAAGGGGGGACCATGGCAAATATGTTTATTTCCAACTTAATGGGGGCCAGTATATTTATTTCAAATTCTGCCAGGACCCAACCTCAAAATTAATAGGTTGTCTTTAATTAAGAATAAGACATGAGAAATCTCATGCAGTGGAATATTTAGTTTTTGGTTTTAAGAAATCATTTGCTTCTTAGCACATTAAATAAAATTCCTCCATGTACAATCAACATGATCAACAGACATGACAGGTCTTTACTCTAAAAATAAAATTGCCAAACAGCAATGGTAATTTCACTGTACATCAAAATAAGAGAAAATGTTGATTCCATGATTTTTGTTTACATTTTGGGCCATGGTTTTTTTCTTGAACAAAAGTTTCTTTTCAAATTTTGAATCATTTATTTTTTTTCATTTTCCAAATAATAATGTTGTTTATCAAGTATTTACTGGTAAATATAAAAAAAATATGGGATTTTTTGCATATTGGAAACTGATTGTGTTTTTCTCAATTTTCTGTTAATTACAAACACAACTCTTGCATTTGTTTTTTTTATGGTGATTTTGATTTATTTCAACACTTCAATGTGAAATGTTTTAGAATAACTAAATAATGGACCTCATGAAACTCATAGTTTCACCAAATTGCAAAAAAACAATTTCCACTGAATTCCTGTGACAAAAAAGGGTGTGCATGTTATACATACAGTGGAATCCCCTGTGTCCAAGAGGCCGGTGATATCGTGCAGTACCTGATTTCATCATATCCGCAACGTAACACATATAGAATTGTTCTTGTATTTGTTTTAGTCTTCCGAAGGGACAAAAAAGATTCAAATTGATAAGTTCAAGCATAAATTTATATAATTGCAATCCCATGATTAACCATATTTAGCCATTTTCCATTAAAACAAATTACATCATCAGATAAAATTGGTTTCATTTAAGTCAAATTTTATCAAAATGAAATAAATTTTGCTTCCCATCCTTGGTAGTCATGGTAGTCTGTTTGGTTCAAAATAACTATATTTCGTAGTATAAAATCTTTCCTGTATTCAAAATTAGCTATTTTAGAAGGCATGCACAGAAATCACCGGACATTTGAAGAACTGTCAGAACAGGGGTTCCCTAATTTTAGACACACATTAAATTAAATCTTACTTAACCCTTTCAAAGCTATACACGGCATATACCGCGATGATGTAGCCGCCTGCCACTGCTGTTCGCGGCATATGTCGCGATGACAATGGATTTTTCATCCAGACTCGTAACCATTCGGTTTTCATTCGGGTCCTCTCTAACTTTTCCTTGTATGAATCGAGGTAATACAAGGTCCCGTTTGCACTTGAAATCGCAGGAATTTTTATGGTAAAAGCATGCAGTAGAAGAAAAATTAAAAAAATATTTTGACAAATGCAATTGGCGGAAATGAAAAAGACACTGTAAATATGGAAATATTTCAGCATCCCTATGGTGAAACTGACAACGAGGAATAGTTAAAAGGTTTCCCGTTATCTCAATGTGTTAATTACATTCAATTCGTGTGGGAAATATGATTTGGTTGATCTTTACAATACGTAGAAAAAGGGGGGGGAAACGGAGGTTGACTGAAAATTTTGAGGATGGAGCCACTTACTTGCGCCACGTTTACATTATACGTTGTGTATGGTGCAAATACGCTACAGAATCGAGCAACTGGTGTCTTCTTTATTATATGGCAGATAAAACAACATAAACTGTTATCACAGATATATGTCTCGCCTTTTTGTAATTTTGATAATGCAAATGTTGAAATTAAAATAGCAATACTTTAACATGTAAGTTATGCAAATATTCCAAGTCGATGAACCATGACTGAAGGTACATGGCTAAACAATCTCCACGGAATGAGATGTGCCAATGCTAATACAACTGCGAACCAAATACCATTGACTTATTATAAGTCATTCCCTATAAACAAACCTAAACACAAACATTAACTTGTAAACTATGTAAAAGTTTCAAAGTCAATGAACCATGATCAGGGGTGGGGCTATATAATCTCCATGGAAACGATACTTGCAAATGCCAATAAATTTGCATACCAAATATCATTGACTTAACATTGGTAGTTCATCTTAAACTGATCTAATCACTAACTAATACATGTAAACTAAGCAAAAGTTTCAAAGTAAATAGACCATGACTGAGGAACTTCTGTTAGGCGGAACAAATATACGTTGACACGTTCGCTTCGTCTGTTGCTCAATCATGACATTAGTGTGTTGTAGTTGAAGTTGTTGATTTCAGTTAATCTTTTGTACTTTCATACTTTTGAACATATCCATATGATTGAGCTAGCCCAAGTAATTAATATGACGTCTTGAAAGGCTATTTTATTTTTTTGCTTTGACGCCTTCCGCATCATAATTATTTGGACTAATGACTGAGCATGTTGTTCAGATTGCTTCTTGTTTTATCTAAACCTTTTCAGCTACATAATCATGTTTCATTTATGGCAGTAAGCCGTTCGAAAACCTTTAAAACTGTTCCGTCCGCTACACTCTGCTAGTTACCTACTTTCTCTTTTCTTTAGACCATAATAAATCTTTCCCTATTGTTCACTGGTTCTTTCCCTGGTAACATACGAGTATGAGAGCCAAACAGGTAAAGAACAGGGATCCAGTCTAACATATTCATCCTGCGGCAGTGCTCGATTCTTAGCCAATTTTATCAACAGCATACACGAGATTATCCTCAAGGGGCTGCAAGAACAAGGTGTTAAAGGACTGAACACTGAAGAATTAAACAGGCAACTAGGCAACCAACTTCAAAATCACCTGGACAACAACGACCTTGCCAAAGGAAGAAGGATGAATGAACAACTAAATACAGATAGCAATGAAACTTGTACCAAATGTAACAAAAAGTGTAGAACTAGAAGCACTTACTGTGATACTGGAAATCACTGGGTACACTACAAATGCCAGAAACTAACACAACAAATACAATTAGCAGAAAACTCAAACGGCAAGGACTACTATGAATGCAAGCTGTGCTGTGAAGCAAAATCTAGCCTCCTAACATTAAAGAGGTGCGCACAGAGTAACACCCATGCCCAACAACTACTTGAAGAAGAAACCGAATTATTGAAAGTTTGCAACAAAGATGAAACATCAGCAAACTCCCAACCAGAGGAGAATTGCGCAGTATGTGACATTATGCTCATAGATCCAGCTTGGGACATATGCGAAGATTGCAACAACAAATGCCACATCAAATGTATGACCGAAATAAAAGGAACATACGTATGCATACCCTGTATCATACTACAAGAAGAACTTAAGCAACAAGAAAACATCAACAAAGATCTAGCTATTGTAACCCCTCACAGGAACATTGAAGAGAAGAACCAAGAAACAACATTGCTCAATGAGTCAACACCACTAGCTACCACAAAGCCAATACCTAAAACTAGAAAACCCAAAATGAAACAACAAAACTTTGATGATCCAACACTACCTAAACTAAGTGAACTAAGAGCAAGAGAAATTAAAATTAAAAAAGTAGAAGAGCAACTTAAAATTAAGGAAAAATCACTAAATGAGATACGAAATGAGAAAATATTGCTAGAATCAAGATGTCAACAGCTAGAAGCCAGGAATTTCGAATTAGAACAAACTGTTAAACTACTCAAAAGAAGGATTGAATCTGACAGCCACCTAGCTATGCCTGCTTCACCCAACACATGTGAAGACCCAACAAGTAGTCAGGACGTCTACCATAAGATGAAACAAGAGCTTGATAAAAAATTAGCAAATCTCCATACAAAATTATCAAACATCGTACTAGACGAAATGGATAGACAGCTCGACAAGATTAAGCTCTTTGATGGCAATCAGCAAGCAGCTACAGAATCACCAAAGACGGACAGTAGTAGGCAAACAGAAAAAGCCATAAACCATACGCAAAAAGAAAATATATCTACAATAACGCAAACCACAGTACAACATCTTACTGGGCAACCACTGAGCTACAAAAAATCAGCAGACCAGAATTTGCCAAAACAGAAGGATACACATTATAATATCCCACCGCCAATACAAATACCGACATATGCAGGCAATAAGCCAAATATAGACTATCATACTGCTCACCATCTGTGGCCAAAGACTGCGTCAAACTCTGCAATGCAAAACAAACAAGAACTTAATGGCAATAGAAATAGGATACCAACTTCAGCACAACAGTCTTTTTTAGCACAACAAAGCCTCGACCTGAACCGTATGTAACAGAAGAAACAGGCGTCGAAAAATCAGAGAGTTCTCAACTACAACTTGTCTCATTCAACTGTAAAAACATAAAAACGTGTGGACCAATAATACATAAACTTTTACAAAATAATGATATAATTCTTATTCAGGAGCATTGGTTGTTCCAAACGCAGCTACATCTACTCGGTGAACTCAATGAACATATAAACTATATAGGCAAGGGGGTTGATATGAATGATCCGCTATTACCAATATGTATGCCTCGAGGATACGGAGGAGTAGCCATCCTATGGAAGAAAAAATTTAAGCACATGATAAAACCAATAGACCTAGGTTCAGAAAGAATACAGTGTATAGAAATCAAGGAAAACTCCAACTCCAATATACTCTTAACATCAGTATACCTACCAGCAAAAGGGAGTAAAAACCATCTATCAGAATACCAAGACGTAATTGATCAATTATATGAGCTCTACCAAAAATACCATAAAACCCATAAAATTATTATAGGAGGAGATACCAAAGAGGATCTGAATGTGCAAACAGGCACAAAACGTAATTTATACCTGCGAGACTTCATAAACGAATGCGGCTTAAAATATGACAACAAGGCAAAAACTTTCGTTAACTCACTAGGACAAGAATCCTCAGAAATTGATTATTTTATGCATAACCTTGCGGATCAAGACTTTCAAGCAAAACAAGTCCTGAACGAACTGATAGAAAATACATCAGACCACCATCCTATCCGTATGAGCATTAAATTCAAGTACAAAAGTGCAGAAGTTAATCGTAAGCAAAACAACAGCGTGATAAAAAAGAAGGTCAACTGGGATAAGGTTGACAAAGAATGGTACTCTGCCCACATTGATACACATATTGACAGTCTCCAAATAAACGAAAATATGGAAGAAACAGCAGTAGAGGAAGCCATACTAAAATTGTGTGAACTACTTAGGGAAAACAGCCGACCTAACCTCATCATCAAAGGCAATATTCAATGCTAAACCAAAACTGAAAGTGTGGACACCAGAAATCCAAGAAGCACTAAAAACAGCGAGGAAAAAATATAAAGTATGGAAAAATCATGGAAAACCCAACAACAAAAATAATAAAATGCTTATGGAGAAGAAGCAATCTAAAAAGGACTTCAGACGTGCAGTACGAATTGAGCTAGCTAAACAAAAAAGCAAGGAGAAGGAAACTATCCTCGAAACAAGGACAAAAGATGCGAAAATGTTTCATAAATTGGTCCGTAACAACAGGAAAAAAAGGAAATGATGCGATCATGGAACTAGAAGTCAATGGGAAAAAATATGTTGAGAACGATAATATTATCAATGGATTTCAAGAACATTTTAGCAGTTTGGCAACATTCAATGAGAAAACAAGTATAGACAGCCAGTATCATAAATTAGTTGAAGAGGATATTCAATCAATAAACAAGCTTGTACAACAAAATAACACCAAAAACGTAACATCTGAAGAAATAACAAAAGCTATCCGTTCTATAAACAAAGGAAAATCGGCAGACTACCATGGTATAACAATAGAGCATATCATTTACGCAGGATCTGATACGGAGAAACTTCTCGTTCCCCTGGTACAATGCATATTCAAACATGGGAGCATATTAGAAACACTCAAGATGGGCCTTTTAACACCAGTATTTAAAAACAAAGGAACAAGGCAGCAAGCTATCAACTACAGAGGGATTACTGTACTGCCAGTCATAGGAAAGATTGTAGAAACTATCATCAAAGAACGTACAAATGACCGTGTCCTGGAAACACAAAACAAAAAGCAAAGAGGTTTTACAGCAGGGTCATCGCCACTGAATTCAGCATTACCAATAGAAGAAAGCTATAGAGAATCAAAAGACAACAATATAACTCTCTACCTCATACTCCTAGATGCAAAAGCAGCATTTGACACAGTTATACATAGCCACATGCTTCGAAGGGTATTCATGGCAGGGATTGATGATGGACATTGGGGGCTGATTAAAGACCTACACGAGAACGCCAAAAGTGTAGTCAAATGGGAAGGAAATATCTCTCAACCATTTCAAGTTAACCAAGGAGTCAGACAAGGAGGTATACTCAGCACTAACCTGTATAAACTTTATATCAATCAACTTCTTAATATGTACGAAACAACTGGAGCTGGCTATAAAATAGGAAATATTAGTGTTAACAGTACAGCATGTGCAGACGATATCGCACTAATCAGTCAAGACTCTATCCAAGCACAAATACTCATTAATATGGCTTATGACTATGCATATATGGAAGGCTATGAACTACAACCAACAAAAAGTGTAGTCCTGAACATCTCCCATAAACAGCGAAAACAGGAATCTAACAACCAGACCTTTAAAATGGGACCAAACGATATGCCATCAATTGAGAAAGCCACACATCTAGGAATCATTAGAACTACATCACTCAAGGGCAACATGATAGCAAATGTGGAAGAAAATATTAAAAAAGCAAGACGAAGTGCTTATAGCCTGCTTGGGGGAGGATTCCATGGCCACAACGGTCTTGACGTAGAGAAAATTGTGCACCTGTACAAAATTTACATCTCTCCAGTACTACTATATGGATTAGAGCTTATACTACCAACAACAAGCTCATTAACACTTCTTGAAAACTTCCAGAAGAAACTTCTAAAGCAAATACTTTCTCTACCAATCTGTGTAGCAGACATAACTGTTAACATCCTAACAGGAATACTACCTATTGAGGCACAAGTACACATCCGAGCATTGGGCCTATTTAACAACATCTGCAACCAGCCTGACGACAGTGTAGAAAAATCACTTGCAAAACGCCAACTTATTATAAAAAATGATGAAAGTTCTAGCTGGTTTATTGCTATTAAGCATATGCTACGAAAGTATGACCTGCAAGAGGCAAGCTGGTATCTGAACAACCCCGTTAAAAAGACCGTATGGACCTCAACTATCAAGAAGACAATATACAATCACTGGAATAGGTCAATAGTTCAGTTACAGCCATTATATAAAGGACTCAATTTCTTAACAACTGAAAATTTGAGAACCGGAAATATACACCCTCTATTCAAAATCAACTGCCACTCTACTATTGATACAGCAAGATTGCCAGTAAAATTAAAGCTACTTACAGGCTCGTATATCCTTCAGAGCAAAAGGACCAGAATGTACAAAGATGAGACTGATCCGAAATGTCTGTTATGTGCAAAGGAAGAAGAAAATATAGAACACTTTATTTTGAAATGTGAAAGCTTGAGAATAGTGAGGAACGCCATACTTCAAGAAATAACTACAACGCTGAACGCAATGGGAATTCAATTTGATGAACTATCAACGAACGAAAAACTACAACATATTC